ACAGCCTCATATTTTTACCGAATATTTTGGCTTAAGTATATACTGTTGCGATATTTCTAAACAAAATCTATTTAATTGTCGAACAAATGAACCATAATTTTGAATAAACCTGCCATGCCACCTACTATTCGAATAGAAAAGAGAATAGAAAACAGAAAATATTTAGATTTATAAAAAACATATTTTTTATCTACGTGCATATGTACATATTTACACACATTACGCACACTATGAAACTGTACCAACGTACAAAAAAGTAGCCGTTTAAAATTTCCTTTGTTTTTGTTTTTTTTTTTTTGCTATTCTGAAAAATATCAAAAAAAAATTTCATTTTTTAATGGAAAATTGCCAAACGGAAAAAGTCTCTGTTTATGAAATGTTAAAAAGAAAAAACCAAAAATTAAAAAATATTTTTATTTCTGACGTTTTTATTTTCCTAACCTAACAAATTTTCTCTACATATTAACATATTATCTATGGCTAATATTCATAAGAATACAAAAATGAAACAAAAAAAAACACAATACTTTACAAAATTTATTATCATGCAAAATACTGTTGTTACACTTCACTTGTTTACACACATTCAGTTCATTTATTCAAGATATTACATACATTACTTCAAAGGAACTTTAAAATGAGAAGGCGATCAAACCAATTTGCGGACGCGAGTTCAATATTAATAAGCAATATTTATTTTGTAAATAACCCTCAAATAGGGTATCTAACATTCTGAGTGCCAATTTATTTATTAATTATAAATTTTTTCATTGCCTTTATAACTCTCTAAGATCTCAATATACGGTAATTTAGTTCGGTAGATGTTCATGCAAATACTAATTTAAGTTGAAAACAGAATAAGAGCGATTTTCCGCAGCGAAATGTCAGAATTCATAAACATATAATCAATACACAATATACATAAGTGGCACTGGCCAGTTTCAAGCGAAATTACAACAGCTGCGCATTTAAGGGCTGTCGGTAAAATAGGCTAAAATCCTATTGGTATTTTATAGCAAATACTGCACAATTGATTTTACCGTCCCGCTATTGTTTTGAGTTAGCAACGATAATCGTCCGTCGTTGCCGTTTGTCGATTTAGTTCGGTAGATATTCTTACAATAAGTTCGGTAGATGGCTTTGCATTTTGATGAAGAAAACAATTATAGAAATATAGGAATTTTAAAGATCTACTCAAAAAACCGAAAATTTATGCCATCATACTTTTGAACAGCACTATGTAAAAAAAGTGATAAAAATATTTTCATTATATTTTGTTACCATTTTTTAAATTTCTTATGAATATTTTAAATGAAAATATAATATAGAACAATTGAATTTAGAACAAAAAAAAAAAATAAAAAGGGATGACATTAAATTACCTAACACCAAATTTATTGGATTATGATTCAGGAAATGAATTTCTTTTTCATAAAATATTAAATATTTGGTGTATATATATATATATATATATACACCAAATTTATAGACATATATATATATATGTCTATGCATTTTTATATGAAATATATTATGTATTCATAGTACTGTATCACATGTAACAAATCAAGATTTATTGCTGTTGAATAATCTCATCATTAAAATAGTGTATGTAGGTATGAAATTGAATAATAAAAATTAAAAATATTTGGTGCTGGTCCGTGACATCAAATCAAATTAAATCTTATTGAAATTCTTTATTTTATATTACACATTTTGTAATGTTTAAAGTAAAATTTTATTTAAAAAAATGTGAACTACATAAACGTATCTAAAATATTTATGTAAAAGTATCGATGTAAAATATTTTTATGCGACTGCCCTGATTTTACATAAATAGAAAAATAACGGAATCACAAAGATTAAAGGAAATTTTATCACAATTTTTTTTTTATATTTTAAATATTTTTCCATTTTCTTATAGATACGTAAGCTAAAATTAGTCATAAACATTAAAAATATCAGAAATTAAATAAAACTCTATAGAATTGAAAAAGTCACTTCAATGCCATCTACTGGAGAAATTTGTAACTACTCGTCTTAAGTATTTTAAGTAATAAACACCATCCGGTATAATTGCTAAATTTATATGTTCCAAATTAGGCTCCTTCCCGCAAAAGGATCGTCATTTGACGCGTCCAAAATGGCGGTAACAATCTAAGTATTTCATCGTCATAACTATCATAAACTTGTTGCTTGTCATTTGATTTGGATTTATGTTACGGATGTATTTACTTTTATAACAATTCTAATCTTCATGATAATAACATTAAAATAAAGGAATGGCTCCATCTAAAATATTTTAATTAAATTTTTTTAAGATAATACTTACGAAGTATTGTCTCGAAATATTCATTGATTATCGTTGAATTTCAAATAACTACTAAAAACGAACCTCTATAATAACACAAAATCATAAAAAAGAAAAAAGTTACCCGGTTTGGCAATCATTTACGATCATTTTGACATAGCGACGCCGAACACTTTACTGTCAAATGACGATCATTCCCGAAGTAGGATGTTGTTACAATCTTTTAATAAAACACAAAATCATATTGTGTCTCTATGATTTTATAAGTACAAATTTTTTGCAAAAAAATATCATGACAATTACTTAGAACGTGAACAAAATTTTTAAAAATCTCACTTTTTAACATAACAAGCATTATGTTATATATCTAGCCACACTCAAAGAGTATATAAAACAATAGAATGTCCAAAATATTTTAAATGTTAAAGTATTTTAATAGAATGTGTTGGAATTTTATAAAATAAATAAAAATCATTAAAAGTATACGCAAAATCATGATTACTCACAAGTATAAAATTAAATAAATATTATATTAAAAATGTATAAGTATACACAAAAATTTAACTGTATATCTTTAAATTTATTATATTTTTTAATATACTTATACTTCTTCAATAAATATAATACCGAAGAAATTATTTTGATATTTTTAAATATTAGTCTTTTTTAAATATTTAAAATTTCAAGGTTAATTAAAGGAAAATTGTTATACAACTTGTAAATGTATATGAATGTAAAAATTGTATTATAAATAAAACCAAATTAATTATGTACTTAATTCAAAAAAGGGAAAGTAACTTAAAGGAGAAGAACACAATTACTTATGTATACTTGCATAAAAATAAATTATTGAATTTTTACTATACAGATTTCCAGTTATTAATAATAACTTTTCTACCTATAAATTATAATGATTATCGCTTTTTTAAATTGACCGTGAAAATCCATGACACATTCGATAAATTTCAATGACGTTATACATCACCTGTTGCCATATTCACAAGATTATTATACAAAAATAATTTTATTTGCAAATTATTTATAATTTCTTGTTTAGTTAACTACAAAAGAAGAAACCTTTGCAAATACTATAGAGAATTCTATAAAGTGATAAATATAAAATATTTTAAATCTGAGAATATAAGCCAAATTCACTAATACTATTTTATATTTATATTATTCTATTCCTTCCCATATATTTAAATTATAATATATTTTTTTTTCTAAATTTAATTATTAATCCATATAACACTTACCTTTGAAAGGTTCAGCTTATATTAATTCCACAATGTGTATTCTACAACGTCCCTTTTAACATAAGTGCTGATTTGCATGACACTATCTCTATTATTATCGAAAATTGGGCATCAAGTTTCGCGCCAAAATTATACAATTCACAAAATTCTATATTATTTTTCACTTTAACAAAAATCATTTACTTAATCGAATTTTAGAATTTAAATTAAAATTTATACAATTTTCAAGACTGTTTTGATTTGGATACCCGTTCAAAAATCAATTATATTGTATGTATATTAGTTTTTGTTTTTTTTTAAATTAAATTAGAATATTAAATTATTTATTAATTCAAAATTTTATTACAAGCATATATATGTATAAACTTACATTTTGCAATAAGGATTCCCGTGGCTGTGGTGTCCGAGTGGTTAAGGAGGTGGACTCGAAATCCACTGGGCTTTGCCCGCACAGGTTCGAATCCTGTCCACAGCGATATTTATATATTTTACTTAACTCAATTTATTAAACTTTTTTTTTTGGTCAAAGTATTTTTTCTTTAAGTTTTTTTTTATTTTTGTTAATTTGTTGATCCTTTTTCAATAAATTAAAATAATTTTATTATTTTCTTGCTCACATATTTTGTAAATCAATGTATGCATGTATAACAACATGCATTATAAGTATAACAATACACTCAAACGTAGAGTTGTATTTATATATAAACAATATTTATGTATATCCTTAGAAATATTTTAGAATCCTTAGAAATTTTTTATTTTTACTATTTAACATAAGTAATATTCTTTTTTAAACGATATCAAATGCGGTTTTTATTTTTGTGAAAAAGAATAATATTTACATTATATACACATACATTATATTATGCTTTTATATATTATAAAGTATTTTTTACGTACATGTGCACTAGAAAGTACATTATATTAAACGGTAATTTCATATTAATTCAACAATTTATAAGCAATTTAAAGGAATATGACATTTCACGCCTCTAAAAAAAATAATTTAGAAAAGTATCTAAAACAGATCGCTGTATTGTATGGCAATTCCGTTATACAGGAAAATAAAAACTGACCTTAATGAATGTTTTCCATATAAGAATAAGAATTCATCTACTGGAGGAAATGTGCGTAACTATTTTCCTCCCAATAATTACTTTATTTTTTGTTGTAAGTGTAAAGTGTGCAATCGGCTTAAACGGAGCCCCATAATAAGTCATGTCAATTTTAAACGTAAAATACAAGTAGACTACTCAATAACAAAGTATCTTGTACATGAAACTGTTTGCGAAAACCGGCTTTAATATATGTACAATCCTCCTATTCAATTACAATTTATTTAAAAATTTAATTTGTTTTACATTTAAGAATATTAAGTTTAAATTATTTTAAAAAATTAATGTTTCTAATTTATTTTTCTTTTTCTTTTTCAGAAACTCATCTATACAAAAATAAAAATTTTTATAAAGTTCGTTTTTTTTTTACTTTTAAATAAAAAAAAAATTTTTACACATTATTTGTACGTGAACATCCAAAAAAAAAATTATTTCAAAATGCATCGTATGTATCCAATGTCAAAAGGTGATCAATTATGTCCATTAGGATTTCATCCGCAAGTAAGATGGCCAACACGTTGTAAAAGATGTTTTCGTGATTATAAGGAGCATGGTGGCAAAAGTCGTGCTGATGAAGCAGTTGCTGCATCATCACCAAATATATCAGATGCTAGTTCAATATCACGTTCACAACGTTCTTGGACATCAACACAAAATCTTTCTAGTGCTGATACAAATAGTAATGGTGATATTGGTAAGTGTTCGTTGTCTAATATAATATAAAAACAAAAGAAAAGAAAAAAAAAATTAAAAACCAAAATATAGCGCGTATGTTTTAAAATAGAGTAGAAAATTTATTTTAAAATTTTCATTGAAATTATTTTTTTTTTTTTTAGTGCGATTTTAGTGATAATTTTTAAAATTTTATTTAAACACACTTTTATTTAGTCATATAATTCTAGTGAATGTTCTAGTTTTTTTAATTATTTTCACTTTTAAATTTTTTGAATGAAATTAAATTTCATACTTATTTTTATTCTTTCTGTATTCTTTTTTTCAATTTTAATTTTTTAATGTAGAAAATTTTTATAAATTATAATTTTTCTATCACTTTTTTTTTGTTTACTCTATTATTATAAAATCTATATAAAGATTTCTGCACTAATTTTAGTACTTTCTTTTTTTTTATTTTTATTTTAAATATTACATTTGCCATCTTTAACTTACATATTTGCCATCTCTATATAACTATTATATAATATTATGTGTTATCTTTGAATCAACATAAATCTTTTGTGTAAAATAATTGTACTACATTATCTTTGTTTTGTATACTACTTTAAATTTAATTGAATTTACTTTAATTATATAAACAATTTGTTTTTTTTTTGTGATACAATTGAAAAATTATTGCTTTAATTATTTTATTATTATATAACAAACACTTATATATTGTTGATGTATTGTTTACTGATTGTTTATTTATTGCTAAAATACAAACAAACATTTAATGTATACAAAAACAAAATTAAATTGAAAAATAAATTCAAATCAAATTGTCATCGTAAAAAAAAATATGAATCGCAACAACTAACAACTGCATTAATAATCAACAAAAATATTAAAAAAAAAAAAAACAAAAAACATGTATTTTGTGTTGTAAATCGCTGCATCATACACGCCGTCGCCCGCCACATAATGTTGTTAATTACACAATATATACGATTGCTGCCTAACGCTGAAAACAAAAAAAAATTGTTAAATTTTTTGAAAATTAAATAAATAAAATTTAAAAAAAAAAACAAAAACTGACAATAGTTGTTCACTATAACATAGAATTACGTAAAAGACCAAGTTCATGGAATTCAACTCCAGACTTAGATGAAAAATCAGCAAACAACAATAATAAAAGCACAACAACTACAAATAATAGCAGCAATCAATCAAATGACGTTAATGTTTCTGTCAAACTTCAACTACCAAATAGGAGGCATACCACAATCATTGATACAAAAGAAGTATAAGCTAAAAAAAAAATTATTAAAATCATTTTTTTAAATTTGTTTTACATATTTAATGTCATATACATTTTAGTTAGAAGAAAGTTTATCAAAAGAAAGACCGCCAGTACCACCAACAAGATCATCGTCTTCATCGGCAGTCAAAGAAGATATTGTTATATTAAAATCTGATTCACTAGCGGAACGAGTTAGAAAAATGAATTTATTAAAAAAACAAAATAGCCAAGAAAGAGAAGCAAGCCGAGAAAGAAGTAGAGAACGAAGTCTACCAAAGAAAGTTGAAAAGTAATTCGATTTCTATTTAATATTAAATTATACATTTTCTTATCTTCGTAAAAAATAGTTGAAAATTTTAAAACCACTTTCCTTTTTAGGGAGAAATCACCAGTAAAAGAAAAATCACCGGTTTCAATTCCAGAACCACCACCACCTAGACCGGATCGTGATGCAAAGAAACGTTTATCATTACCAGTAGAATCTTCTTTACCACCGATTAAAAAAATTGAAACACCCAAAAAGAAAGAAATTACATTAACGAAAAAGACAACAGTGATTACAGCTGCAGCAAATAATCATGAAGAAACAATTAAAAAAGATGTTCAATTTTTAATGCAAATTAAAGACAAAAATTTAGAAAGAAAAAAGAAACAAGATGATTTATCATCAATAACAACTGAATCAACTGATACAACAATTGTTGCAGCATCTGATTATCATTTAAAAGAAGAAATAAAACAATTACAAGAAGATTTAGCATCAATGAAAGCACGAGCTGAAAAAGCTGAACGCGAAAAAAGTGATTTATTATTACGACGTCTTGCATCCTTAGATACAACAACAAATCGTACAGCTGCCTCTGAAGCATTAAAATTACAAGAAAAAGTTAATGAATTAAAAAATCAAGTAGATGAATTAAAAGAAGACAAAAAGAGTTTAAATACTAAATTAAAACAATTAGAAACAAGATCATCAAAATCATCAGAAGATGATTTACGAAAAAAATTAAAAGCTGCCGAACAATTATGTGAGGAATTAATGGATGAAAATAATAAAGTGAAAAGAGAATTAAGAGGTGTTGAACAAGAAATGGATGAAATGCATGATAGTTTTCGTGAGGATCAAGCATCCGAATACACAAATTTGAAGAAAGAGCTAGAAGCACAAACGAAAAATTGTCGTATACTTAGTTTTAAGCTAAAGAAGTCTGAAAGAAAAATAGAAACTTTAGAACATGAAAAACAACAGCATTCCTCAATTGATTTGGCAAATAAAGTTAAAATATTAGAAAATGATTTAAAATTAGCTAATGAACTTTCAAGGAGATTACAGGTGTTTAATATTTTTTTTTTTTAATTAACATTAAAAAATCATATGATATTATATAAATATAAAAAATTTTTTAGGCTGAAATCGATCAAAATAGTAAAACTCCTGGTATTATTAAAAAAGCACCAATTTTAGCAACAATCGGTAAATCAACATCTGCTGACAGCGGACGTCATACGAGGGCTTCATTAACACGTGGTGGATCACAAGAAGATCCTGAACAAATACGCCGTGATCTACAAGATTCTTTAGAAAGAGAAGCAGATTTAAAAGAACAATTGAAATTTGCTGAAGAAGAGGTTTGTAATATCATGCACAATTTAAATTTACATAGGGTACTTACGATGTTAAATCGATTTTTTTTCCAATATATTTATTTATTATACATTTTATCTTTTACACAACACACAAACATTTACATACACTTTTTTTTTTATATACATTAAAAAATATTATTGTATTTGATAAAATGATAAAAAAAAATATAAAAATTTATATTTAGAGTCGTAGATTAAGGCAACGCCGAAAAATATCAATTAGATTACCACAAGAAAATCGTGGTGTTCAAACTGAAGAAGTTGGTTTACTTTTAATTCCAACTGGAACTCAAACATATAATAATGACTTTAATGATATCAATTATTCAGATTCTAATAATAAAACTATGATATTAAATAAAAAAGAAACATGTGATGTATCAATAGAATGTGATATTTTAAGGTATTATAATAATGATAATAAAAATATGATTGATGTATCGATTAATACTGATGGTATAAAAGAAATTGAAAAAATTGATAATTCAATAAATACAGATTATATTGAAAAGATTGATGTTTCTATCGAAACAGAAAATAATGATATATTTTATAATTTAAACAAAATTATTGAAAAAGTTGACAAATTATCAATTAATAATAATAATAATAATAATGATCTGCAATATAATAACGATCAAACAGAAAGCGATCATGAATCTAATATGATTTTACCAATAAATTCTAATAAAAATCATAATTATATTGAGAAAAAAGATGCATATACATTTACTGATGAAAGTTATATTACTTTAACAACTCAAACAATTGAAGATATTAATGATGAAAGTTTACAAGAATTAATTTTAACTAAAACTGAAATACGCTCAGTTAGTAGCGTTTATACACAAACTGATGATATTAATAATTATCATAATAATGATAATAATATTAATAATGATAATACAATTATTCATAAAGAAAATAATATGAATGATGATATTTCAAATAAAGAATTATTAGATAAAATAAAATTAAATAAAACAATATTTAATGATGAAAATAATATTATAAGAGAACCAAGCCCAATGGCTTCATCTGGATTATTCGGTGTTGCAAAATCAGTGGGATTTTTCTTCCCAAAATGTATTTCAGAAGCTTTAGTATTTGCTACAACAGGTATTATCTAAAATTCAAAAGTAAAAAAAAATTGGTTTACTTTATATAATTTACCTTATACATATAACATTTTCGTAATAATATACTTATGTGTTCAGTATATATATTTATACAATAATGCGAACAAAATAAAATTTTATATAATATTATTAAAATAAATAAATGATAATTATCCAATGCCAAAAAGCAAATTTACATAGTTTATAGCTAATATAGATTGTAGATAACCTTTTTATTTTTAATTCAATATTTCCTATATTATGATTTTATAAATATAATATTATTACAATATTCAAGAGCTGAATTAAAATAAAACCTATTTATATTGTATAATTACAAATTTTACACTTTTTAACAAATTTTTTGTAAATTTGTCGGAGAATAATTAAAGATCAAATACGATAATTATTATCAACGGCATTTAATTAAAGTAATAATAACAGTACTTATTATTATAACAGTAATAATAACAGTACTTATTATAATAACAGTAATAAATATTTTGTTAACAATATTATAAATAACAGTAAAACCAATTATGCAAAATAAAATATGGATAACAAAAAAAATTCGAAAAGTAGAAATAAAACTTTTATTTTTACAAATTTTTAATACAAAAATTACAACACTATTATTTCTTTTCTTTTACATTTTCTGTCATTTATTAAAAATTTTAATATGACTTTATATACTTTCGATATTTTATATCAAATTTAATTCATCATTATAAAATATTATAAAATTCGTCTAAATTTTATGCGACTTTAATTAAAAAACGTAATTTTATAATATTAACCTCTTTACTTCTCTACGAATGTAGTACGCATGCAGAAACATTAAACTATGAAACACAAATTATTGAAGTTTGTCGTATGTGGTTATACATAATATATTAAGAAGTAATATAAAATTTTGTAGTTTTATCTGATATTCACCATAAGTTCATGTGTAATTTAATGATTATATTTTATATTCACCACTTCTTCAATAACGGAATTATACATATTTTTATATTGCATTTTAATCTCTGAAAGAATAACAAAATTCAACTTTATAATATTATACCTAGAACATAATATATTATAATTATAAATTATTATTAGCTATATTTACACTACGACTCTTTCACCAACGGTTAACACATGTACTATAAAATAATTTTGTGTTTTATTGAAAATAGCATGTATGTAAAACATTGACGCAAAAGTCTTTGTCAAATCACTGTTTTGATAGATTAAATTTCGCGTAGAAACTCTCTGCAATTTTTTTTTTAGAAAAATACTTTAAAATTTTACAATTTCAAGTACTTAAAAAAATATATATTACTTTTTATTTAATTTTTTATGTGAAAATTTTAATACCTAAGAATAAAGTGTAACATGAAGAATATTAACTGATTTAAGAAAGAGTGACAGTATTAACTAAAAAAAAGTCTACCAATTTTTCCTATGCAATAAATACTACACAGAAATTATCTGTGGTGACTTCCGAAAAATTATTTTTTCGTATTTGCAAGATCTATTATGTTATAAGCTTTTTTCTGCTACTATTTATTTTTACATTTTGACTTCATTCTGTTACTCTTTTTTCTATTCTTACTCTTTAATTATTATTTATAGAGTTTTATAGATTCTTTATTTTAGTCAATACTGTTACAATTTAAAAAATAATTTAAACTGTCAAATTCTGACAGATAAAATTTTCTATTTCAAGCTAATTCTGATACTAAAGTAAAATTATGTTACAGACATGCGACAACACTTATATAAGTCAGTTTAAATTTCTTTAAATTAATACACAAAAGTTCCAAAAGTAAAAAGGTTAATCATATTTAATATTTAAAAATAAACATTCCAACATTTTCATAAAATATTTTATTATTTAAAAAAAATAAATAAATTTAATTAAATTTTCAAAAATCACAAACAAATCAAAAAAAAAACCAAAAAAAAAAAAAACGAAACAAAAAAAATTTTTAATAATTTTTCAGGCTGATAAAATTATAAAGAAAGCAAGAAGGTTGGAAGATGAAAATGAATCATTGATGATGCAGTTGAGAAAAATGGCATTACGATATGGAAGTATGAATTCTTACTTATACTTTTTTTTTTTTTTGTTCTTAAATTTACATACTACACTTTTATGATAGTTTTTTTAATATTTTTAATTTATTTTTTTTTTTTAATTCTTACTTATTATTTGTATAATTTTTTCAAAATTTTCCTATTTTATTCGATTGGTTTGGACTGACTGACTGACTGACATATAAGATTCATGATTATATAATTTTATTGAACTAAAAATATAATCTCTACTCTGATTCAGAGAGAAAATAAAAAAGTGTGAAGAATTAATTTATAACTATTTTCTTTAATCTAATTAATTTGGTTTTGCCATTTTTTGCAGCTGCTCATTTAATCTTTCTTTTCAGTTTTGTTCAATTAATTGTTTTTTTTTTTTGAATCATTTTCAAAATTTAATTGAAAAAAACAATTTTAGGGGAAAAATTTTTCTAATCTTTTTTCTTTTGCCGGTTTTATTAGTGCAAAATTTATTTCTTAATTTTTAGGTAACTAACATTTTTAAATAATATTAAAAAAATAATAAAGGCTTGCTTTTTTCTTTTAGCTTTTTTTGTGAAAAAATTTACTAACTATGTATAGGTACCTAACTTATTGTTATATTTCCATTACAATCATAACCGAAGCATAAATGTGAATGTGCAGCTAATATTTAAAAAATTTTACATAAAAATACAAGGTATTAGCATTTTTATCAATTTTACAAAATCTCGTAAAAATCAAATTTTGAATCTTTAGATTTTTCTTCAATTCATTTAATGAATGTATGTATGTATGTATGTATATTGAATAATGAAAAAAAATTTGGTTTAATAATAAAAATAGGTTTTTTACTCACTGAATTCGAAAATTCAATTTAGAATTTGTACATAAAATTGGCTTATCTATATTCATAAGATCGAAAGATTATTTTGTATAAGAATGTATTTTGCGTCATTAAATTGAAGTGATTTTGTTAAATTTCATTATGAAAAATATATGTATTATAAACTGATGAACATACTCGCTATATAAAAACAAAAAACAACATTATAAAATATACACTTATAGTTTTTACCCATATTATTAATAATTACATTCATAAATAATGTCGTAAATTTCATATAAAATTGAATAAAAAATCATTAAATTAAATACAAAATCATTAAATTAAATACAAAGTCATTAAATTTAATTAAAATTCATTAAAATGAATTGAAATTTACTAAAATTCAATAAAAATTATAATAAAATGTCGTTAAATTTATTAAAAATTCATTAAAATGAACAAAAACTCATTAAATTTATTAAAAAATCATTAAAATTGAATTAAAGATCAAAATCTTTATTTTAAAATTCATTCGAATTCGTTTAAATATTTGCAATCGAAGAAAATAAATTGGAAATTTCGAAAAGCTTCAGTTTTAACTATCCCAAAAAATACATTTAATGTCAATTTGAATTAAACATTTTCGTGATATAAGAGACGATTAATCATATATCACACGGAAATCATTTATTCTATAATTTTATTTAAAAAAAAAAATCATTCGGCCCCTACAATAATTTTCGATAAATTTGAACTAGTACCTTATATTCATAAAACTAAAAATGTAAGCGCATTCCGAAATACAGAATTTATACCGAAAATTGCAAATTTGCTTTATTTAAATTTTTGTTATTGTTTTTATACCAAAATTTTTTTTGTATAACACTCTAATTTTTATTTGAAATACATATATAAATTTTTTATTATAAATATCTTATATATAAAGAATGTAAAAATTTATTATAAAATTATTTTAAGGTCAAAAACCTTCGACAACATCAAATCGTCCAGAACCATTACATGAACGTGATGAAGGTATTTCTGATGAAGATGATCCAGCTGAATTACGTTTATTGTTAGAAGTTAATGAACATGAAGCATCTATTTTACGATTAAGAGTTGAAGATCTTGAAAATGAAAATAAAGAAATTAAAAATCAAATAAAAGAACTTCAAGATAAATTAAAAGCATCAAATGATTCAAATTCAACTACAACAACAAAAAAATCTTTATCAATATTATCTTCAAAGAATTCCAATGATAAAAAGGTTAAACAACTGGAAGATGAATTAGCACAATTACGTAAAAATATTGCTGAAAAGGAACGTACAATAACAACATTACAAGGTGAGATTGCGGATATTAAAAAAAAATTAACAATTAATAATCAGCCACCAGCTCCAATAGATACAAATAATAATGTTGACTATAAAAAACAACTTGAAATAATTGAAAAAGATGCAGAAATTTTACGTTCTAAATTAATAAATATCGCGAAGGAAAATGATAAACTTGTTTATGAAAATCGAAAATTATTAGTACTTGCATTGCGTAACAAAAATAATAATAATATTAATAATAATTCTAATTTAATTAATGGTCCATCTAAAATAATAACAACAAATAATATAAATGATAATATTAATGAATTAAAAGAATCACTTAATGTTGCCGAAATGGAACGTGATCTTTATAAAAATCGTTTAATAATTATGAAATTAGAAAGTCATATTTATTTACCACCAAGAACACCAAAAGATCCTAATGAAACAATAACAAGAGTAACATTACAAAAATGGGTAAGGGAATTGGAAGAAGAAATTGCTGAACTTAGGGTTATGGTATGGAATTGTAGTGCAGAAAAACAAAATAAATTAGAAAGTGAAAATGAAAATTTAGAAGCAGATTTAAAATTGGTAAAGGATGAACTTGAGGAACTTAGTAAGCTGTCAATTTCAATGAAATCAAAAAAATAAATAAAAAAAAAAAAAAAACAATATAATAAAACGGTTTCCAATGTATCTTCGGATACTTAAATTTTCATCCATCAGTCTGTCTATATAAATATGTATATAATAAATTACATATAAAATATATATATATATTAATACATATATATATGTATATATTATACACATAATGCATGCAATTTTTGTTTTGTTATCAATATGTATGTATAGTACCTACATTATAAATGTATTGTATATTATTCTTAAAAAAAAAATTTTTTTTTCAAATTTTCAACCATAAATGTGAAACACTTTTTAAACACTTTTATATAAATTAAATTATACTTTTGTAAATGATAACAATTTTCATATATAATTTGTAATATTATAATATTATGTATGTATGTTATTAAATTTACATCATTTAGACCTTAAACCTCACTAAAAACAAATATGTATGTTTCATCAATTTTATATACAAAAAAATATATAGAATTTATTTTCAAATATTTCTAAAATTTTCAATGAGACTTACTTTTGGATTCCTATTTAAAATCAGTTTTAATTTTTATGTGTATAGGTTTTTTTTTGTTAAATAAAAATATTGTTTACATACTACCTACTAGCTATCACCTATAAAATATAATGTGGCTGTAATCCGATGATGAATAATGTTACCCTCTCACTTACTTGAAACCACAATATGATATTCCTTGTACAGATCCAAAACAATTTAAAATAAATTTGTTTGCAACATCCAGAAAAAAAAAATGAACTTGATTTTGTCAACAATTATAACAAATACTGGTGGTGATTTTTTGGGAGCCGACGTGCTACAATAAAATCTAAATTAGTTTTTGATTCAAAAATCTATTTTTTTTAGAAAAATGCAAAACAGTATCGGCATTACCAACCGAAAAAGAGAAAGAATTGGAACAAAAATATAAAAAATCTGATGAAGAATGTAAAAATTTATCTGGAAAAGTTAAGGATTTAGAAAGTAAAATTAAAAAAATGGAAACTCAAGTAAATTAAATTTTTTAAATTCTTTTATTATCATTTTAAAAAATTATTCAAAAAAAAAAAAAAATTGTTTTCTATTTTAGGTGACAAAAGCAGAATCATCAAAGAGTTTAGGTGATGCTAAACTTAAATATGAGAGAGATAAAGTTGCTACAATTGAAAAAGATTTAGAAAAAGAGAAAAAAGAACGTGAAAAATGGGAGAAGAGAACAAGTGAATTAGATGATGAATTGACATTAGCTAATAAAAATTTAGAGAAAATTAAAACAACATTAGAAAAAGAAATTAAAGATCTTAAAAGTAAAGTTGGAACACCAAAATTAGATTCATCTGCAACATCTAAACAATTAGCTGAAATGAGAAAACAAAATGAAGATTTATTGGCAAATGTAGCAAGAGAAATGAAAAAATATTCTGAATTAAATGCAAAATATGAGAATTTATCAGAGGAAAATGTTTTAATGAAAGCTCAATTAGCAATGGAAAAGAAAAATTTAGAATCAGAAAAATCAACAATAAAACAAAAATTAAATGAATATGATTTATTAAAGGCAGACAAAACGGATCTACAAAGAAAATTAGCAATTGCTGAAAAGACAATTAGAGAGAACGAACAAAAAAATATGAAAAGTAGTAGCGCCGAATATGAAAAGAAATTATTAAAGAGTACATTAGAAGAAAAAGAAGTCGAATATAATCGTTTGAAAAGGGAAAATGAAATGAATGTTGATTTGGTATTCCAAGCAAGAAAGGAAAACGAAGATTTACTTCAAAAGTTAAAAGATTATGAAAAAATTAATAAAGCTCAAGCATCAATGTCATCTTCAAATACTTCTCTTGAAAATGAAATTAAAGCTTTGAAAATCAAGTAAGTGAAATCTATAATTAGTTTTGTTTTAATTTATTTCGAATTCCTTTTGTTCATGATTTTAGACTTGAAAATACCGAATTGAATTCAAAATCTGAGGTAGCTTCAACTCGACTCCGTTACGAACAACAACTTAAAAACTTAAGTGCTGAAATAAATTCAATGCAAAGGCAATGTGAAAGATTTAAAAAAGATCGTGATTCATTTAAACAATTATTAGAACTTGCTCAAAAACAGATTGGAGAGCTTAAACATAATACTGGAAGTGGACGACAAAGTAGAAGTTCAAGAAGTAGTGGTGACGAAGATGATCTTAAGGGAAGAATTATTGGTTTAGAACAACAGGTAAAATGCGTTTCCTTTAATAAAATATTTAATTTTTGAAATAAAAATCTTAATTTTTAATAAAATTATTCTTTTTTTTTTAAATTATTTAAGATTGGCTGCTTAGAGGATCAACTAAGTGAAGCACGTCTGGAATCAAGTAAATACAAAAATCAATTAGTTTCAGAACGAACATCAAATGAGATAAAAATTGCCGAAATGACATCAAAATTAAATGAATTTGAAGAAGATCGTGTAATAGGTTCAGGAAGAACAAGAGTAGCTGGTGTTAAAACAAAATTAGAACTATCATGGCAAAAAGAACGAGAAGAGCAACAGAGAATTTTACAAGAAACATCAACACTGGCACGTGATCTTAGGCAAACTCTATTTGAAGTTGAACGTGAAAGAGATAAAGAACGTATTGAATCTAAACGTAAATTAGAACAATTGAAACGAACTCAGGATGAAGAAGTTGAAGAAAGCCGAAAGAAAGTTTCTGAATTACAATGTGATTTATTGGAATTAAGAGATGCTCATGCTAAACTTCGTACCGCAAATGAAAAATTACGTCGTGAACGTGAAAGATATGAAAAGGAATTATTAAGGCGAAAATTAGAACAAGATGGTGATCGAAAAGTTGGCACATTATTACAAACTGTTGATGAATTAGTTAAAATAGCTCCAGATCTTAAAATTGCAACAACTCAACAAAATAGAGTATCAAGTAGTAACAGTTTAAGACCAGATTCAGCATCAATGAGAAGAAGTCAAAGCCCATCACCATCTAATGTTACTGCCGATCAAATATCTAATGTTTTAGCAAGATTAGCAGAAGCATCAGAAGAATTAAGAAGATATCAAAGAATGACTGAAGATGAAATGGAAAGAAATCGTATACGACGAGGTAGTAATCTAAGAAGAGCTGCATCAACAGAAAATGATGGTAATAGTAGTGGAACAATACCAAGAGCACCTGGTCGTTTACATAGAAGTCAAAATGGTGGTTTAGTTCGTAAAAGTTTAAGTTTAGATCAAGCTAACAAAGCTGATCAGGTATTCTATAAAATTTATATTATAATTTTACTCTATAATTTATAAATATTTAATGAAATACTCATAATAATTTTATTATAGTCTATTTGGAGACAAGATGATGGTAGTATGTCATCAATACAATCAATAGATTCTGAAATGGGTGGTGTAGGTCTTATTAGAGATTCTGATTTAGATTCAAGATTATCGGGTGGTTCAACACAAAGTGATATTCCAAGACAACCAAGGAAAAAGAAACGTAGTCTTATGGGTAAATTAAGAAGTTTAACAAAAGGTGGACGAAATGCTGAAAGTGAGGGTTCGGTTAGTATTAAAAAAAAATAGTTTACTTTAATTTCTTAAAGTACTTATAAACATTTTTTATTATTTATTATTTAATAAATTATTTTATTATTTAATAAATTAATTGATACCTTGTGTATTTGTTTTTTGTAGATGCAAGGTTCAGATTCAGATATTAGCATGTCAAGTGATCTACGAAGCAGTAAAAGAGACTTAAAAGATCGTCTATCTGGTATGTTTAGAAGATCTGGTTCACAATCACGTGGTAATAGTACAGAAAGATTGCCTGATTCACAAAGACCCGTAGCAGTTACAGTAGTTGGAGGAGCTGAAGATAATACACCAAAATACTCGCCAATAACAAATAATGTTAATTCAATAAAACCAATTAATAAAGCAGTAAGTTCATTTTACTCCCTCATATCAGTATAATAATTTTTTGTATGTATAAAAAAATATTTATAATTTTTTTGTTAATTTAAAATTTTAGGTTACAAAACCACCAACTCCAACAACGCCAGTTTTGAGGCGAAGAGTAGCTAAATAAATATTAAATTTGTATTTTATATATTAATTGAAAATTAAAAAAAAAAAAAATTATGTTATTATGTTGACTATTCCTTATGACCATTACATATTTTTTTTGTTTTATAAATTGTTTTACTTTATTTTTATTTCATTTTTCATTATTTATTAATTTTTCTTTATAATTATTATGGTATGGTAATCATGAGAAAAAAAAAAGTATTTGTAAAAATAAAATTGTTTTCTTTTCTTTTTAAAATTGAAAGTTTATTTTTTAATTTTTAAAATAATTAAAAATTAATGAAAAATCGCAATCGAAAATAATATTTTATTCAATATAGAATAGGTAAGTACCAATAATTTGCTCATGCAAATTGCTTTTCAAAAAATCGATGTTTGTAAATATGTTATAGCGCTTCTTATTTAATGAAACTGTGCTTAGTGTAATTCCCGAAAAAAATCAATGCTCAAAATTATTGCTTCTTTACATTAAATTGTTAATTAATATGCCGTAAAAAACAGCTTTAATTTTAAAAAGTAAATTTTGTGTGGCTTGTCCATATGAAAGTATACAATAAGTTGGTTAACACCAAAATAATATTTAAAATGAAAGTCTAATATCGAAAATTTAAAATGAAAGTTAAAGTATACAAAAATATAAAAATAAAGTTAATATTAGTAGGTAGGTAAATAAATATGTATTTATTGAAACGTACATAATTTAAATAAAATTTAGACATGAAATTTAATAATATTTTGTTTTATTAAAATTAAATTATTAATCTCAACTGTGTAAGTATACACTTGAAATCCAAACGTTTAAATTTAGATAATATATAAGTGTTATCATTAATAAAATTATTAAAATAAAAATTATTTACAAAAAAAAAACATATGTAGTAGTTTGTTTTACTTAATTTATAGTCTTACTTGCTTAACATAATGTACAAAATAATTATGGTACGAATGACTACGCACGTCTATCAAAATGCAGATCTAACGTCAAATTGATTTATTAATTAAGACAGTATTCTTGAATAAGTCAAGTTGACATGAGACCTACATTTAGGTAAACGTCCTGTGTTTGGAGATTCTCTCACAATTTTTGTAATTTAAAAACTGATATACATAGATACATGGATATAGAATATAAAAAGACAAATTATGCTTGATATGCTTCGATATGCCTAAATATGCTGCTTTTATCTTAAACTAATTAAAATCTAGAAATTAAAAGGGCTTAAGAAAATATGTATGTACATATATAAAATGCTAAAAAAAAAAATAATTCAATTCAAAACAAAAAAGTATTAACAAAACATAAAGGTTTCCTTGCAAATATTACTATTCACTGACTAGCTTATCCTAATTCGTGTTATTCTAAAAAAATTTTACAACTAACAGAACAATAACATGCGTATGTAATTTATTATTTTCAAAATAGTCAGTTATATACCTACTTGTACCTAATAATTACCTATAAAAATTTTTTTCTGTCTATAATGGACCGAGCTCTTTAACAAAACCTTTTGTTTTATATTATTATCACTTATGTCTTATCGCTGATCATTTAACTTCATTGTAGATTTTAAATCATTGAAGTTAGATATGGGGAAAAGAACTCGTCCCCTCTGACAACCGCTTATTGTAATGGCTTATTGTAGTTCTCCCATATTCCACTTATAGCTATTATGGTCAAAAGTAAATAACCGAAAATATCTCTCAGAGAGTTGGACGTGAGACTCCCAACACTGAAAAAACCCCCGTCCAAAGTATTTCCAGAATATATACAAACCGTTTCTGTCCGGTTACGACAGAACTTACATAAATTCGGACTTCGATTTGCCGGACAATATTAAGTAAAGAAACCGGTATAAACCGAGATAGCATAAACTCGATTTCAATTCATCCCCAGTAATTTGGAATAGAACTTAATTGAGAAAAGTGGAAGAAACAACTTCAAATGATAGCATCACCCTCTCTAATAGCCTCTCTAAATATAAATAAATATGTATGCATTTATTTCCTATCTTTCATTTGTACTATTTAGATTAAAAAAATTTTTAAAATTTACGATGGTAGTATAATTTTTTTATAGGAATAAAAAATAACAGTATTAATTTAAATATCTAGACTAGCCAATATTTCCATTAACAATAAACCAAACAGTAAATCTTAAATCCATCGCTAAAAAAAATATTTATTTTTTATTGTTTTTAGTTCTTTATTTGATTTTTTTTTTTAAATTTTTATATTTTTTGTTTTTTTTTTTACTCATAATATAATAATATAATAATAATATTGATGTTTTTACTTAATGTAAATATAATTAATTATAATTAATTATAATAATATTTGATTTTCATTTTAACAAAGCCAATAAGTAAATAATAATAATAACAAAATAAAGTGTAAATAACGTATTTTTTTTTTTTTAATTTTTATTTTTTTTTTTTTGTTTTTACCAAATAATTCATATATTTTTCATATTTTATTTTTTAATTCATAATTTCAATTAATATTTAAAAGAAATTGTAAATTGCATGTATATATATGTATGTTTTTAATAAATGTATATATATATATATATATATATATGTATATATATATATATATATATATATATTGTGCGCTTAATATTTTATATATATATATATATATATATATATATGTATACATAATATACAAACTAACTAAAAGTGAAATTCTCTACTTTTATGTATAATAATTAAAATTATTCTTTTTGTTTTTTTATATATGTTTATTTTTTTGTTATTTGGTATTTTAAATAAAATGTTCAAGCAATTAAAATAATATTTTAATTATTAAACTTATATACTTTGAATTTATAATATATAATTTTTGAAATTAATCCTTATTAATCCTTTGTTGTGTGTTTTTGTTTTAATTTTAATTCTTTTATTTAATTTTTATGACTTAACTATTTCCTTATAATTGTATAGCATATACATAATAATAATAATAATAATAATATATAAATAAAATTTTTTCATTTTTTTGTATATTAAAATAAAATTGTTTTTTTTTTTTTTTTTTGCCATTTAAAATTTTCATATTTAATATTTAAAAAATCTTTCATAATAAATCTTGATTTTTCTAATCTCAGATTAAAAATAAAAAATATATTTATGTACATACATATGTATAATGTATAAGGGTTAAAACAATATTAAAAATTAATTTAAAAAAAAAATAAAAATTTAAAAACAAATAAAATATTAAATTTGAACTAAATATAATAAAGGTATACTTAAAAAGAGAAAATAAAATCAATAATTTTGTTATTTTTTATTATACAGTAAAACTTTTACATTTTGCTATTCCCCCCCTGACAAGATCTTTAAAAAGGAAAAAAATCTTGAATATCTAAAAAAAATATTTTAATATAAAAATAAAGAAAATAAAATTATATTAATATAATTTCATTTATTAAAAAATATAAATTAATTTAAAATATCTGATATGTATTTTATTTTGAATTTATTTATTTTGTAAAATATTTATTTTTAAAATTTTAAGAAATTCAATTATTAAAATTAAATATTGTGATCAAAATTGCTATAATCCATTATATTATAAATAATATAAAAATTGCTATAATTCATTAATTAGCAATTTTTAAAATTTTATTATAAAATTTTGAAATTTGAAGTAAGCTTTACTTTTGAATTTAAAAATTTAATAAAAATGAGTTAAATGAGTAGGCTCGTCAACTACCTAATAAATTAAATGACGTATTGTAAAAAACTGGTTCATGGTTATCAACAATATCATGCACCAGTACTATGCTCTTTACAAGCAGCGAAATAGGATTAACAAAAAAAAAAAGAAATGAGCTTAGTAAGTAAATGCACATTCTGCACGTAAATGGCAAATTTTTTTTATAAATATCTCTAATTTTTTTTTTTAATTTTCTATGAAACTCATAAAAAATAATAAAGAAAAAAATTAATTTATATTCAATTTTTATTCAATTAATATTAAATAGTTTTGATTTAAATTATTTATTTACTGATTTACATAATAAATAAAATTATGGTATAAATTTTCTTGGAAAATAAATTCTAGAATAAATTTTCCCTGTGACCACAATATTATTTTCAATAATATTGTTCTTCATAATTTTATATTTGAATTTCTTTCTGTAAAACATAATTTTTTTTTGTTTTGTGTTTAAAATATTAAATTTTATATACTTTAAAAAAAAAAAATGATTGTAATATAATTAAAATAGCACCTAAAATATGAGTTTCTATTTAAAAAATCAATTATTATCAAAAAATTATTATTATTTTTTTTTTATATAAATTTTGCGTTGTATAAATACGCTTCCTATAGATCAAATATTAAAATTGTTATTTAATAGGATTATTTTATTATTTTAATATTAACTTTTATTTGTGCTTTTTTTTTTTTAATTATTTGTGATATATTTTGCATGACTTATAAATGTAAAAAGATTTTTGTTTTATTTGTATATTAATATTGCTATTATTTGATATTTAATGAAAAATGAATATGAAAATTTAAGAGTTTATGAAAATACAGATTAAAATATTGAAGATTATTTTGATTTTTTTGTAAATAAAAATTCTGCATAATAATTATGATTGTTTTGTTTTTTTTTTTTGTTTTATTTTTGAAATTAAATGCTGAATTAATTGCTTTTATTTGTTAATATGTTTAGAAATCACTTAGATATCTTTTCACCGGTGGTTTCTATAATTTTTTTAAATTGAAAATATCGGCTTTAAAGACAAATTTTTATATTTTTACTCTATCTATAATATATATTTTTTTTTAAATATGTATACAATTATTGATTATATTAAAAATCGCACCTCTTAGTTCAAAGGCAAGTTTTTGAATTAAATATATATATATAAATTTTAATTATTTTATGTTTTGATATTGTAAAAATTAAAATCATTATTATTATTTTGTAGAATAATCAATAACATAATCATTGACTATTTTACTAATTAAATAATTGAATTGAAGACAATTATATTAATAATTATTAATTATTAATTATTCCTTATATGATTTAGTATTAAATAACTTCAATTTCTGTGCAATTATAATTTTATAAATTGATAGTTAGAGTTTTTGTGCTAAATCATATTAATAATATTATAATGTTATATAATTTATATACTAATACTGGAATAACAATTTATTGGCAATCATTGCATTATTTAAATAATTTTTAAATGTTTATTTTATTTTTTCTTTCATTTGCATAGCACCATTAAAAATACTTGATTACATTTTCTTTTATCTTTCTTTTGTGCCCTTCCTAATTGATTAGAATTTTGGTTTTTTTTTTTAAATGTAAAATACAAGATGAATTTTGCAACGAGACAAAAATAATTAATTATATTATCAGTGAAGTATACTATTCAAATTCTTGCAATTATTTTAAAATTTCATCTTGATTCTCAAAGAATTCAGAAAATTTTCTTTTCCATCAATATGAAAAATATGATTTTTTTTTTCTAGTATTAATATGAAATTTGTAATTTCTTTGAATATAAAATTATTTTCAAATTAATAATATATCAAAACTTTAAATTCATTAGAATTAGTTTTACACAAAAGATGGTAAACATTAATTTTTTTTTAAAGTAAAAACGTTTAGTATATATTAAAAATTATTAAAAGCTATCAAATTTCAAACGTACCATTGTTACAATTAATTATAATCATGAAACAAAACAAAAAAAAGAATATTCTAATAATATTAAAATTACTTACATGTTAAGAAAAATTCGCGCTTATTATTATTTTATATAACATTTATCAAATTGTATAATTTTTTATATTACTAAATGCATGTTATAAAAAAAGCATCAAACTACTTTTAAGAAAAGATAAAAAATTTACGGACCCTAATGTTATAAATCTACATTATTTAATAAGGCTGTATTTCAGACTTTTTTAATTTTTTACATATATTTCAAAATTTTCTTTTTTGTTTTAAATTTTCATTTTTTTTTTTTATAAAAGTATTTTTGTTTCTACTAGAATTTTTAATAAAATAAAAAAAGGTAAATTCCGAATTTATTGTCATCAATTTATTTTCGTAAAATTTAATTCATTTAGAAAAAAAAAAAAAATAAGTCTTTTTTAATAGTTGAATATTAATTCATCTTAAAATTCTTTCAACCGCAAATTTTTTTCGAAAATTCCATTAATTTTTCTTTTATGAAAAATTCAATTGGAATTAATAAATTTGAAATCTAAAACAAAAACTTATTCTACAAATTGAATGTGTCGTAAAAACAAAAACAATTCAATTAATCCAATTAAGGAAAATAAATATTTTATAACATAAATTTTTGTTTAGATTTTAAACTTTTTAAAAACAAATTTCTAATTAATTCAAAATTTAAAATTTCATCCTGAAATCAATAAGAATTTTTAATGCCATCAAATCAATATATATCATTCCATTTGACTTATTTTATTGAATAATCTGTTTGAAAGGCAAGATTAATAATACTACACACAAAATTTTTAATATATTAATATGTAAAACATATTATATTTATAATTAAATATTAAATATTTATTTATAATTACAAAAAAAAATGTGAAAATAAGAGATATTAGAAATACCAATATAATTATTCTAAAAATTCATTTTATAAGTTGAAATTTAATATTTTATATATAGAAATAATTTATTTTTATTTACAGTCAATAGAAAATTGTAAGCAGTATTATAATTAACGTATTACTATTATTCCTTAATATATATAATTATATTATATATATTATAATCCTATATATATATAATTTTTTATATTACTAAATGCATGTTATAAAAAAAGCATCAAACTACTTTTAAGAAAAGATAAAAAATTTACGGACCCTAATGTTATAAATCTACATTATTTAATAAGGCTGTATTTCAGACTTTTTTAATTTTTTACATATATTTCAAAATTTTCTTTTTTGTTTTAAATTTTCATTTTTTATTTTTATAAAAGTATTTTTGTTTCTACTAGAATTTTTAATAAAATAAAAAAAGGTAAATTCCGAATTTATTGTCATCAATTTATTTTCGTAAAATTTAATTCATTTAGAAAAAAAAAAAAAAATAAGTCTTTTTTAATAGTTGAATATTAATTCATTTCAAAATTCTTTCAACCGCAAATTTTTTTCGAAAATTCCATTAATTTTTCTTTTATGAAAAATTCAATTGGAATTAATAAATTTGAAATCTAAAACAAAAACTTATTCTACAAATTGAATGTGTCGTAAAAACAAAAACAATTCAATTAATCCAATTAAGGAAAATAAATATTTTATAACATAAATTTTTGTTTAGATTTTAAACTTTTTAAAAACATATTTCTAATTAATTCAAAATTTAAAATTTCATCCTGAAATCAATAAGAATTTTTAATGCCATCAAATCAATATATATCATTCCATTTGACTTATTTTATTGAATAATCTGTTTGAAAGGCAAGATTAATAATACTACACACAAAATTTTTAATATATTAATATGTAAAACATATTATATTTATAATTAAATATTAAATATTTATTTATAATTACAAAAAAAAATGTGAAAATAAGAGATATTAGAAATACCAATATAATTATTCTAAAAATTCATTTTATAAGTTGAAATTTAATATTTTATATATAGAAATAATTTATTTTTATTTACAGTCAATAGAAAATTGTAAGCAGTATTATAATTAACGTATTACTATTATTTATTATTATTGTTATAAAATAATATTATCAATAATAGTAAATTTAAATAAAAATTCAAAGATATAGAGAAAAAATAAGTATTAATATATTTACTTAATTTATTACTATTCTAAAGAGATATGTTAATTGAATTAATATTATAAAATTTGGTATTAATATATAAATTTTAAAATTGAATTCAATTTTAAAATTCTTAATTACTTTTTAGTTTAACTTCAAAAATTATTAATATTTTACTACATAATTAATATTAGCAGATTATTTTGTAAATTTTCGTATACTGATATAAAAAAATATTAAAATGCAATGCAACTGTTGATTGTTGAAACATAATTACTTTTTGAATTTTTATTATTTTAATGCTATTTTTTTTTTTTTTATAAAATGTAAATTAATGAAATATTGATGAAAAAATTAAAAACTCATTTATTTCTCTTTTGTAAATTTTTATAATTATATTATATTTCTTGTAAATTTATACAAATTTCTTTTTTGTTTTTAATTATTTATTTTATTTTTTTTAATAATTACTAACTTACAATGTTTATTTTAATTCTTTTGTTTTTATTTTAGAAATTACAATGTATTCGCTTTAATTTTCGATAAAATAAAACAAAATAATGCACAATATTAAAGACACTTTTTATAAATACATGTAATTTTGGTACGTTGAATTTAATTTGAAAATATAATTATTTTTGTGTTAATTAGTCTTTAGATAACAGTTCGTCTTTTAAATTATAATTTTACAATTTTTCGAATATTATTGAGTTTTATAAGTTATACAATATTCTTTTAATTATTTTTATACTAAGAGGGTTTTGATATCAATTATGATTTTTTAATAAAAGAGTTTTAAATGAAAATTTCTGTTAACATTAAAAATGTGCGTTTATTTTGAATTTTATTTAATAATATATAATAATATTTTGAGTTAATCTTTTGTTTTTTTTTTTCTTCCTTTATCTTTTTTAATTCTAAAATCTGAGATTAGATTTATTGTTAATTGAATAGTTTTTATAAAAGTGCACTGCACTTACTTCGTTTATGAAAGATAATTCGTTTATTATTGATGTTTATGTAATGCCATAATTAGAATTGAATTTTTGTGATTTTGTATTTGATTTGTGAAACGAAAAAAATAAGTAATTATTGTAGAAATATTCCCTTGTAAAGGATTTAAGACTATTAAAGTAATAACAATATTATCAAAAGAAAAAAAAAATGCAAAAGAGCATTATTAAAATTAAACATTAAACTTAAAATTAATTCTTATTCATAAATTTTAGAATATACAAAAATTCAAATAAAGTAATAAGCAGCATTATAGCACAAAAAAAAATGATAAATTATAGTTTTGTATAAGAAAATTTAATTTTTTAAACTTAATATCCATGAATAATAGACAAGATTTTTAAAAATACTGCTTGTAATATTGAAATAATAGGAAAATTAATTAAACATTTTCAACTTATCTTCAAAAAGCAAATACATAATGCATATTGTAACACAAACACCAAAAAACTCATATTAAAATATTATTGTTGATGTATAATAACGTATACAAATATAATTTGTTTGATTTTAAAATTAAATACATATTTTGATATTTAGTTCTTTCATAATTTTTTCATTTTAATTTTCTTCACTTTTCGACTCATTTTTCGTTAATGCTGGTTCAGTATCTGATCTGTCATCATCATTTCTTTTTGTTTCGAGAGCTATCTTCTCAACAGCAATTCGTTGATGCTCAATCATTTGATTTAAAATTTCACGTAACTTATTATTTTCTTTTCGGTATTTTTCACGCTCCTGATCATTTTCATTAATTTTTTGCAATAATAATGAAATTTGAGAATTTAAAGCTAAAACAATTTCATATATAGCTGAGCATGGAATCGATGGTTCCACAGGTGGTATTGGTATTTTATATAATGGTCCAAATAATTTTTTATTAGTATTACATTCTGAATTCTTTATTGCACTTTCATCTGCATTTGATGTTTTGTTAGCATTTTCTTTAGGTATAGCACCATTGCTTTGATATTCACAATTTGTTTTTTCATCAACAATATTTTTAATATCCTGCTCTGTTTCTTCTAGAATTCTATTGGCATTTATTGCGCATACTTTTCTTGATGGCTCAGGTAAATTTGGTGGTGGTTGTTCTATAAAACCACTTGAAGGTAAACGTAATCGATCGATTTCGCAATAACCATCATCTTCCTGCAATATTGTATCTTCAATAATTTTATCAGTTTCATCTTTTGTTTCTGTTATTGATGATGTGCTTTCTTCTTTGGTGGATGTATTTTCTGTTTCAGGAATAGGTGACTTTTCTGAAATGCTTTGCGAATCAGATTCATTGTTATCATTATTAGACAGATCTTCATTCTTTGATTGTTCTAAAGAAACATCATTTTGGTTATCAATTTGTTCTACAAACTCTTCTTGATTTGATACTTTTGCAATATCGTCTTTTTTCAAAATATCTGACTTTTTGTATTCAGGGGGACAGAGATGGCATTTATTACAAATAACAATGTTATTATCAGGTTTCTTTATATATTCAGTTAAAATTGAAGTAAGTGATTGTACTTGAGAAAATGCAGCTAATATAATATCAGCTGAGTCTTTTGGTGCTTCTGGTTGGCTAGCTATATCTGCGATAGCAGCAAAATGTTCATTTGGTATACGATACATATCACAAACAATTTTTTGCTTTTCAGCTAAAGCATCTTCAATTATCTTATCAAGCTGACGCAGTCTCTCCACAGATTGATCCGAACGCAGTTGCGGTGTTAGAGTAATTTCAACGTCATTTTCATAAATATTTTGATGGCTTTTAATTACAACTGCACTTTCGTCAACTTCATTGTCAGTTTCAATTTCAAGCTGAATTTTATCTGTTACTTCAGTTGATATTTGTTGACTTTCACATTTATTCTCAGATACAGAATCATTGTTTGAAACATCACCTAAAAGTATTTAAAAGTTTTCTTTAATAATAATATTGTTTTATTTGTTAAGAATTTATTTCAATTCATATTTAAGGTTAAAAATTATCTATGTGAAAAAAACATAACGCAGTACAAGCAAAATTGAATTACCTGAAGGCAAATTCGATACAGAAATCGATTGAGACTCACTTCTATTTAGACTGTTATTTATATTTGTACTAATATTGTTATTTGAATGACTGGCTATCCATTCCGGCGTGCTTTCGTGCGTGTCTCTAGCAGGGGAATGATGATTATTTGAAGTTGATGTATCTTCCGTTACGTCATAATGTACTTTTGAGCGCTGAGTATGTGTTGTATGCTTTTCTGCAATGTCACTTATTTGCTTAAACCATGCCTTACATTCAGAACTACTTGGTGCCCTGAGCTCCAACATTTGTGATGTTTTTGTGACAAGTAAGAAAAAGGTATTTTTGTCCACAGCTGACTGTCGAACATATGTCTGATGATCAAAATAAATAATTGGACTTATTCCTTTGCTATTATCGTTAGTAGCTGTTGCTGTGCTATTTGGAAAATATTTTAAAATATATTTGTCATCATGTTTCTGCAATAAAACCATTATATTTTCAAATAAAAGACCATATAATGGTACCCCTGGATTTTTTTTCATGGCCAGCTGACCGTCATGAACAAGTTTCAATTTTGTTAAGTCCAAGTTTTTGAATTCATTGCCAGTTTCTTTATCAAAACTTGACTTATCTAGCTTTCTTTGAATTGTTTCTAATTTGTATGTGTCTTCGGCAATTTTTACGGCCTGATTGACGTCGACTAATATTTTCTTCGAAGATTCTAGTGATTTTCTAATAGCCTCTGCTTCGCTAACGTCATCAGGGTATTCCTTGCTTTGGATTTTATATAAGTTTTCAAAGAGTAATGGATATTTAGTTAATCGTTGCAAAACGGCTGGCAGAAGATCCTGGAGTTGAAGACGGCGACATGCTTTATGTGATTCAGCTTTAGTAAGGAAACGATGTAAATGTTCATCCTTAGCACGTCTGTCTTTAAGAGCTTTGAGAGCAATTTGTTGCCTTGAGCAAAATTGTGCGGCGTAATCTCTTAAATTTTCACCAGATTGTCCTTCAAACATTTCAGCCAATATGTCACCAACAGATTTGACAACATTTTTATCTTCCAATCTACGTACTTTTAATTTTGCTTCAAACGAACCATGCAATTCTTTCAATTGCATTAAAACTGGAGGGAATAATAGTTGCAAATGATCATAACCTAAAACATTTGACTCTAACAGCGGTCTGTAAAATACCCCGTCCAAAAGTCTTAAAATTCTGTTATGACTGCGTTCTGAATGATAAAGTTCATTTATTATTTCTTGACGTTTCTTTTCGTACTCGGACAATGTTGCTAAAATTTCAGGGTCAACGTTGGATGACCAATCGTCGAAATCATCATCGTCATCGTAATCTATGTACTGTCCTACAAAGTTTACGCCACTTGGCGGCGGAAGATGTGGATGTCCATGCTGATGTATACCTTGATGTAGTTGTTGATGTAAATGTTGACTGTGAGCACCCATTTGTTCCAGAGACAAACTGGGACTATTATGAAGACTATCTCTTTCTGATGAAAGGCTAATAAAATAAAATGAATTAAATAATTTCTATACAATTGACTACTTCGTAAATTTTTTTTTACCTGCCACAACTTGAACTAGAGCTTGCTGAGAATCTTTCGAGTGCTAAAATTCCACTTAAAGCATCGTTCGTTTTAGTTAGGCTAGGATCGGATGTTTTTCTTCTATTATTACGATCCCTTTTATGGCTTAATCTTTCTTTGTACGATTCAGATCGAATAACAGAGTGTGGTGCTGAGTTTGACAATTGTCTTTCTCTTTTAGTAGAACGATGTACATCTACTACATTTGTATCGGCTTTACTTAATGGTGATATACCTATTTCACTGTTTTCTAAATTACCAGTAAATCCACTAGATCCAACAGAGACATTTATCAAATCTGACCTGCAGTCTGTTATTTCATGAGCCATTGGATTAGCAATTTCGGTATCATGTGTTTCCTCTATACTAACTTTATCAAACATACTTCGTCTTTCATTTTGTGAAGTATTGTGATGACTAGAACGAATTTTTCCCATAATTAATTTACTTATTTTACTATCATTATGTTTTTCTGAATGCTCTTTACGCATTTGTGGTACCGGACCAGGACAATCTTCTTCTAATTTCTTTAAACAATTTCGATGAAAATTTTGCTTACAATCTGTACAATGATATCCCTGAGGACTTATACCCCAAATAATACCATGACAGTTATTACAATGCGTCACCTTAAAAGAAAAGTATAAAAATTCATATGAAAAACGTATGGAAAAAAATTTTGAATATATTTCTCAAAGCCCTTTTTTTACCTCATAGTATTGATGCAATGTAAATGAATGTCCTCGTACACTTTGTTTTCGGTTTTTACCCATAATTTTTTTGAAACTTTTTTCTCTGCTTACGAAATTATTTAATTTACCGATTGGACTTCCTGGATTTGATCTTGTTATAAACAAGCGATTTAGCACGGTTGATAAAGCTGAAGATAAAGCTAATTTCTTAGCATCTTCTTCAGGAGCTTCCTTTTCCAATTCATCAACCATAATTTGTAATTTTCTAACTAAAGTTTCTTCAAAAACTTTTTGCTCCTTAACTTTATCACCTCTTGCAACATTTAATTCCATGTCACTCGGCCCATAAATAGTTCCTAAGCCAGCATTACGTTTTTGTTGAAAATCAATTAATTGTTCACAGATATGCTCTTTAGCCTTCTTACGACTTTTCCAAAATATTTTACGTAAAATTTCAGCTTTATCATATTCATTTTGTAAAACATTATCAATTTCACGTACCAAATTTTCATCAGCTGTAAACCATGCCAATGGAGCATTCGGTACTAAGAATGTTGAATGAATTTCATATGCCCATTTACGCATATCTTTAACAGTTCCTTCTTTATATAAATTTCCCGTTATTAAATAAAAAAGTAATGGTTCAGGATCTGAATTTGAGATAACATAATTTAAGAATACTGCTAAATGTGCCATATTTTCTGGTTCTAAAAGTCGTTGCAAATAATTAAATGGACCATGTTCATCAACAATAAGATCTTGATCATCAGAAATATCTTCATCTTCCATTGACATTATTTCTTTTTGTATTGCTTCTGATGATTGTTGTGCTGCATGTATTTGATTACCAAATACTTGTCTCGTAGGACTACCAAATCTTGCAGCTTGATCCATAAATATATGATTATCGATTTCTTCCATACCTGCATGCATTTGAGATAAATTCCCAGATGATGGGTATGGAGGTGGTGGAGTTCCTAAAATAAAAATTTAAATAAAATTAAAAAATAAAAAATTAAAATTAATTTAAGAACAAATTTTTTATTTTATTTCAAATTATTTTTATGAATACAGTAAGCGCCGAAAAAATACAACACTTAAATTTTTCGACGTCAAGGTTTTTTTTTTTTAAATTATAATTCGTACATAATGAATTCAATACTTGAGCTCCAATATTTTTTCCAAATTTTAAACTTTGTTCTGAGCTTTTTCAAAAATAAGTTTTGAATTTGTTTTTTATTTAATGCATTCGGAAACTTCCTTCCTCGTTTTGTTTTTATCTTGAAAATATCAATTATATTTGTTTATTTTTTTTTTTTGAACAAAAAGTGGCTAAAAATTATAATTGAATTTTAATAATTTCAAAAATATTTCAACAGATGTCTTCTCCAGAAATAATTTTATACATGTATGTATGTAAATTTAAATATATAAATATATTCTTATTACATAAACATATTACGTAATATAAACAGGGAATATACCTGAATACATACATAAATTTAAGAAAAAAACAAAGAAAATGTTTAAATTTAAATAGTAAACAATTTTGTATTTATTTTTAATAAAATTTTGTAAAAATGCAAATTTTTTCGAGATTGAAAAACATATGTGAATTTATAAAATTCTTTTTCTATTCTATACCCCCTAAATCTATTCAGAGCTTTTATTTTTTTCTTATTTAAACAATCAATCACAGTCAAATTACCGTCATTATAAGAAACAATAAAAATTCATTAGTTTATGCTATAAAAACAAAAATGTTTATTTTAAATGCGTTAATAGCGTACATTTACGAAAAATATGTAGCGTCGAAATTATACGAATGCGTCGAAATTTTAGCATCGAAAAATACGAATGTTTTCTGATTTAAGCATTTATGAAATTTAAAGAAAAAATTTAAAAATAAAATGAAAAATTGCAATATTTAAATTTTAATAGAAAAATATTGAAAATTAATTCTTAAACGAAATAATTTAACAAATTAAGTTTGGCGGTAAACTGAGAGTTTCCAACACGCTTTGTTAGAAAAAAGTGTTTAAACGAAGCGTTTCAAATTTAGCTAACATTCCAAAACTAAAAATTAGTACATTTTTGAATTAATTATTAGAATTGCAAATTTAAGTATGAATTTTTGATAATTCAAGTTTTAAATTAGATCTTAATACAAAGCGCGTTCAATACCAAATCTGCGAAATCTGAAAAAAAAACTACAAAATATACGGAATTCGAACATTCGAAAATCATTAAAATTCTAATTGAATTTTTAAGCATTTTCATATCTACTGCAAAAATATTATAAATTAAAAATGGAGCATACTTAATACAAAAATGTCGAATATTGAAGAATTAATCGAGTATGTTACAAATCGGCAAAATTACAATATTCAATTTTTGCAGATTTGTAAGTAATATGAGAAAATTTTTTCAAAATTTAATTTAGAACTTTTAGTGCTTGTCCATAAGTCATGATCAGTTAAACTTTATTCGAAATTGTAAATTACCTTTTCTTTAAGTACTAAAAACCTAATTATAATTTATATGAGATTCATATTCGCATACATATGTACATATGTGCCATCTATGTAAATATTTGATTATTCCGGATTCTATAGCAAAATAATGCAAAATAATTATTGAATCAAATTAAATAAATATTAAATTAAACTAGATAAGGATTTTTAATTTTTGAAGGTTTGATATTAAAAATTGACATAATATAAAAATTATTTGAAAATAAAATATTTTGCTATAGCAATCTAAGTGATTACATATGTACATACAATATATATAATAAAATTGGAATGTCGTTTGAATCTTCATAAATATTAAAAATTAAAAATGAATTAAATTTAAAAAAAAAAATAAGCCTACAAAACATATTGAATATGTCAAAAATGATAAGCTTTTTCATTTGAAAAACACAAAACAAAAAAAAAAATACTTAACAAAAATATTATTGCGTGGATTTTTCTAAAAATAAATAGAAAACAAAATTGAATATAGTTAGTTGGGTTAAACTAATCGCTTGCAAAGTAGCACTTTTATCTTCAAAAACTGAATATTCTGCTTTTAAAAACAATGTACTAAGTCCATTATTAAAGTTATTTTCATTCAAATACCAAAATATTTTAAATGATTGCATACATTTAGGATGAGAATAGAAACATTATAAAAAAGCATTAACATAAAGGTCGATTTATGGTCGAATTCAATTTTTCGAATAAATTTCCTGAGTTATGATAAATAATTATATTTTTTGGTGGCATGCCACTTACCATTAGCATTCTACATTTACAAAAATTTGGAAATTAAATTAAATGCTTACAATTACAATAATATTATATAAAATGCCAAAAAATTAAATTTTAAAAATTCTTGAGGGACGAATCGGAAATAGAGGATTGGAAGCAAACTTTCAAACTCCTCCTATAACTTAACGTCTAGAAGAAAAACGACAACAAAAAATTGAAAAAAAAAAAAAACGGTTTTTAGATAACGGTAAATTTTAACGTCCATTTTGTTTCTGTAAAATTTTAAATATGATATGCTGCGGGTAAGAGAAGCCAGCAATTACTTTTTTTTTTGTTATAATTTGTTTGTCGTTTCGTAACAAAAAATAGTTATAAAATAGCATTTTCACAATATTTTGAGGGGCTCTATAACTTTTAGATAAGGGCGGGAAATAAATAAAGATTTTCTTTTATGAAAATAAATTTCTAGTAAAGATCAATTTATATATGAAATTTTATTTTAAAAAAGTATAGAAATTTTGTATACAGAAACACGGTAAGGCGGACGGACGGACGGATAAAGTAAACTAATAAGCACTATATTCAAAATTTTTAGGGAAAAATACTAACAAACTGTGCTTATAATTATTATTTACTTAGTAAGCAAGTACCTACATACTATACATACATCTTTATGTATTTATGTATATAACTAAGTATATCAAAAAATTTTAAAGACAATTTTATTTCCTAGCTAAAAAAAAGTTTATTTTTAAAGTAAAATCAATACAAAAAGTAGATGACACATAATCATTAGAATACAATTTTTTTTTATTTATTTTTTGTTTTTTATTTGTTGCTTTGTTCATAACTATAAAAGTATCATCTAAATAAACATTCATAATATTATTGTCTACAACTCTACACCATACAGTCTACATTATAAATTATTAGAAAAATGAAGTAATTTTCTTTTTATATACTTATCTAATAGGTACCTCAATTCTTATATACACGAGTATAGATGTATATGAGTATATAAATAATGATGTACTACTTGCTATGTAAGTTGATTCATTTAAATATATACAAATACGAACATTATTAATTGTTGCTCATAATATTATAAGATAAGACCATGTGTATTGGAAAAATTTAACAGGACAATACCGTATTTTAATTAAGTTATCGTATATATATGCTAATCAGATTAAAAGACACAATATTATAAAATTAAATTGTTCAAATTAATGATTACAAGAAATTTTTATATTTAAATTATAAAAATATTCACAAAATAATTAATTATATGCAAATCTTTAAATAGCAGTGCTAGGTCTACTACTAATATTTAATTTTCTAAATTCGAAGCAACAAATATATATATAGAGTGTTTCTCAGAATGTTGCAAATAAATTCAAGTTTTTATTATTTGATCAATTTCAAAAAATTGTATGTGTAGGGGAAGGAGCTGGTGCAAATTTAGTCATTTTTTGAGCTACAGCCTGTTAAATTCGATCGATTCAAAATTTTTTCTTTACATAAATAAATACTAATTATACTTCGGAATCGTACAAACTTAAAGTAACCATTAGAAATTTGTTTTAAAGATAATTCGTGAGGTTAATGCTACAAAAAGATAACACGAAAATTTAATATATTTTTAGATAAGTAATTTAATCTAGGTGTCATAAAATCGAATGCTCTTTCATCTGCGACTAATATTTAAGCTTAAAAGTATTCTTAAATGTCGGAAAATCATAATGCCAAAATTAAATATAAGTATATATGATAAATTATTTGTCATTGGTTAATTAAGTATCTTCAATATCTCTAAACTAATAATTGGCGAGTTATTTAGTTGCAGCATTTACTTTACGAATTGATAGATCTTTATTTTTGTTCTTACAATCAATTATGTTTGCGAATTTTGGATTTATTTTAAAAAGATTTTTTAAAATCACAGGAAATTTTAAGAAAATTTTTGTTTTATTTTATTAATGAGAAATTAAATTCCTTCATAAAATATTGTTTTTAGCCTCTCACATTTTGACTGATATAGTTTGATAAATAGCTCTCATATTAAGCAATTTTTATTTTCTTCTCTTATTACCATTATGTAAATTATGTTAGTCAGCTATAATCGATGAAAATTTATCTATCATTTTTAATTAATTTTTAGAAAATCAATAACTTTTACTCAGATTCATGAAACAATTCATAAAATTATGCCTCTCCTTTTAATTTCTACAACATGTACCGCTTTATATTATTCAATATTATGGTCACCATACCATATATGTAAGTATTAAGTTAAGAGAGTAAACATGTACAAAAAAAACACTTATTAAAATTAACAATTAGAAATACAAGCATACGTACATATATACTTACATATTCTAAAATATACTTATATGCTAAAATTTTTTGCAACCAAAAAAAAATATCAATTAAAGCGCATTCATATGTACGTATACACATGGAAAGAACAACAAAAACAAAAACTATTTAAGTAAATTTAAAATTCAAAAAAAAATTAGAATACCTAAAATGAAAAAATGAAAAAATAGGAAGTAACTATTAGCTAATTTTCAAAAGACTTTGTGTTTGTTAGTTATTGAGAAAAAGGAAATTAAAATTCATTGAAGATTACAAATTTCTTTTTTTTTTATTTTCTAATTAACATTTTAATTCTAATTGATTCAAAAACTGATTTTCAAGAAAACACAATGCTTGTATTCTACTTACAAATAAATGAAGTAGAACAATTTTTTTTTAAATATACCCTTCTAGATTGAAATTTTAGAATAATTTTAGAAAATAAATATGCAAAATTGTTTACATTTTTTTAAATTACAAAACAAATATACAAAATGTTCTCTGTAAAGACAAAACAGTAGAGAAAAGAAATATGTGCATTTTTATACCCGTACGAACGTATGTTCGAAGGGTATACAAAATTTGCCTTACCGTTTGTAACGTTAAAAAATAACGGTCTTAGATATAGACTCAAGTGTATGTTTTTGATCAGCGTCAAATTCTGAGTTGATTTAGCTTTGTCTGTCCGTCCATCCGTCCGCCCGTCCGCCCGTCCGTCCAAACGATAACTCAAAAACTAATTAAGCTAAGTTCACCAAATTTTCACAAATGATTTATTGTAATAAGTGCCATAATCCTATTTAAATTGGACATGATCGGGGTACCGGTTCGGGTAGCTGCCATACAACTTCAAAAGCTATTTGGCTATATCTCAGAAACTATAAAAGCTGTGGTACTGAAATTTCACACAAGCAAATATATTATTAGGGCCGATGTGCTTGAAAAAATTCGTTAAAATTTCTTGGCTCTTTCTGGTAGCTGCCATACAATTTCAATAGTAGTTTGGTACACACAGTATTTTGAAAAACACATAGTACTGAAATTTTGCATAAATTGATATGCTAGTACTGCAACTGTCCCATAGTCAGATACGGCATCCCTATTCGCGCACATAGGATAACAAATTCGTACGGGTATCACAGAGTTAACAAGGTCAACTCTATTTTTTCTCGTTTAAAAATAATTTTAAGAATAAAAAAAAAAAAACCAAATATTTGAAAATTGCAGTTATACATAGAGGTATTTAAAAAACATAATTTTTATCTCTAAAATATTGTTGACTCTTGTTACTTGTTGATAAGGCTTAAACTCACTTATTCAAAAATTCAAAATGATTTTTAATCAAACACAAAAAGTATTTACTTAAAGTACAATGTACAATAATCGCAAATTGATAATCAAAAATAAATTTAATTTTCAGTATATACAACAGAGTATAATAAATTGTAGAGAGCATACTTAAGTTTAAAAACAAAAAAAAATCTAATCTGAACAGCACATAACCGACCGCAATTTGTATTTTCTATTTTAACGAAAGTGTTGCACAAGAAATTCCTTTTAAACACTTATTTCTTTTATAAGCTTTTAACTAAAATATCTAAAAAAAATGTAAATTTGGTTCTTAATATTGATTTACACATTATGATCTCGAAATTACCATGAAAAATTCGGCAATTAGTTCTAGTTAGCAAACAAAACTCAAATATAAAATTTCAAAGAAGCGAAAATGTAAATTCAAATCGCAATAAAAATCAACTTTTTGACACCTGATTTCCTCAAAAAGTTGACAGTCACTTGATTTATTATACTGTTAGGGATATCTTATACATACATATATATATATGTATATAGAATTTCAAAAAAAAAAATTCGCGAATTATTTTCTTAAAAAAAGAAATTCACTAATATCGACAGGCAGTCCAGAAATCCTATTCCAGAGATCTGACATATCCCAAAAGTTGATCAAATCATCTCATCCTCAAAAAAAAAAAAAAAAAATCAAATATAAATTTTCATCAAAATCACTTCAGCTGAGCTTGAGATACTGATCTGCACAGACAGATTGACAGAGAGTGAGTAACAGACAGACAGTGAGAGTAACAGACAGACAGACAGACAGACCGACCGGCAGACTGACATTTCTCTTAAAATAGTTTATTTATGCATCTTTAAAACGCATTTCCATTGAAATTTCGACACGTGAAATTTGATACAATCACATAACCTCACTTATTGTATACAATACAGTCTGTAAAAAATATTAATTTTGTTCTAGGTGCCTACTAGGTTCATAAAAAATTTTAAATTTAGCGACTTTTTTAATATGACATCATAACGAACGTAAAATAAATTTTTTGTATTTTTTCTTAATTTTTATTATTTTTTTTTTGTATTTCTACTTTTTTAATAAAACTGGTTAAATACCAATAATTAGAGAAAACCATAATATTCAATTTTATTTTTTCAGTTTTTTTTTTTCTTAATTTTTGTGTTGTTTTCAAAAACAAATGACTACTTTTATTTATTTTTATTATGGTATTGATGATTTGATAGTTTTTTTAACACATTTTGTTTTATTCTTTTTTCTTATTATTTAAAATGTATTTTAATATTATTGAAAAATTCAGAATAATAATGAAAAAATTAAAAACAGAAAAATATTAGAAAAAATAAATAAATGCAAAAAAATGTTTTTTTTTTTTTTGAGAATTTTCAAAATTTTTAAAACTAGGAAATAGCTACTTATACTTTGTTATTGATTTTAAATTATTTTCAGTGTTGTAAATTAAATATTGGGGTATTTCATTAATTCAGTTCTAGAATAGTTTTAAATTGTAACACTGAAAATTCAGATCATATGAAAATGAATGGCTGTAATAAAGTACGTTCGGAAATTCCTCTGTAATAATGAAATGCCAGAAATTTAGCGCAGACTCCTAATTTAGTTATCTAATTTCAGCGCAGCGTGCATAAACTGTTATAAGTCATAGTTTGGATGGTGTATCAAGAAGTGTTAACAAAATTTTGTTCAATTTGAACAAATTTGTTTTTATTTGAATTGTTCCTGGATTTTGTTTAAAGAAAAAATTAAATATTCTCAGCAAATAAAATTCAGTTCTCATCAAACAAAATCCATAAATGAACAATATATTCGATGTATTAGCTCTACTTATCCTACTATTTTGTTTTGGTTTTTTCTTATATTTAACTTAATAGTTATTAGAACTTATTACTTGTTCAATAATTTTATAAGTGAACCAAAAAATCAGTATTTTCTTAAGATGCTGTTCTCAACGAAATGGCTATACAAACAAACTTAAAAAATTATATCGTAACGAAAAATATTTCCTACGTTATAACGTTAATTTTAAAAACTTAACAGTTACAACATTTGTAATAATTTATATTGACATTTCAATACAATTTCAATAACTTGACAAAAATCTTAAAAAAATAGACTAGATTCCTAATACACCAATTACTTTTTACTTATTTTTAATCAATTAATAAAAAAAATTTGCAAAGCGTTTGTTGAGCCAACGTTCAAATAAACTATTCTAATAAAAAAAAAACTTTTTTAAAAAGTTTAAAGGAAAAGTAAAAATGGTTGGTGTAAAAATGGTTGGCTCAGATCAATTTTTCATTTATAACAAACTTGATTCTAAACTAAGGATTTCTAAGCACCATAATTAAATACTCGGTGAATAATAAATTTTTATTCTGTTATTAAAAAATTTAATTATCTACGTTACAACACTGATTTTCTAATAAAATTTTTATTTAATTTTTTTTCGGATAATTTTGTAATAAATTTATTCTGGGGCCAGTTTTGTGTAGATCTATTCATCTTATGAATAAGTAAGCTATACATACCTATACATATATTTAAATTATAAAATAAACCTATGAATAAAATTTAAATAATCAAAATTTATTTAAAAATTAATTAAATATGTGTGTATATATATGTTTGTATGTATGTAAATTAAATAAGAAAATTATTTCATTGAAAAAATTTATAAAAATAAGAATGAATAGGTAATGCATTCATTTACTATTTATATTTATAGATAACTTTATCTAAAATTCTTAAAATGTGCTTATCTGAAGTTTTGCAAAAATGTATGGCATATGTAATTACAGCATGGTTTAATTATTGTTACTGGGCGTCTAAATGTCCAAAATTACTACAGAGGTTACAAAACCTAGAAATTGAAGTTTTTACTTAGAGGTCTTAATTGTACAGAATGCGTTTTTAGATAAGATTGAGGCTTGTAATCGTAACATAAATATTTAATTTAAAAATTCTTAAAAAAGTTATTAAAATTTAATATTGTAATTATCAATTTTTAAGTAAGTACATACATATACGTATATCGAAAATAAACATTCATATTTTGTTATTTTGCTATTTCACCCCCCATTCCCCTATCAATTACTTGCTCCTGTATGCTTGCGTAATAAATAGCTAAAAATCTTTCAATTTAGCTTTTTTTTTTTAATTTAAATTAATTGTGTGTTATTTAATTTAAATGGGAGCATTTAATTAATAAAAACTAATTAAATTTCTTAATTGCAATTAAAAAAAAATTGATTATGACTTAGTAAATTACTTAACTGAGTAAAATGACATAAGAGACTGCAAGTTTAAATAGAAAAATAAAACAACAAAAAACAATAAAAAATTATTTGAAAACCAAAACTAAGAGAAATTTCTGTTTTTCCCTATTAAAGTATTTGCCTTGTGAATTCTTAAATATGGAAAGGAGACGGGCGAAACTCAAAAACATTTTTGTGTAACTTACATTTTTTAATACAATAACTTTTATTTAATACACAATTTTATTAAATAATTCCAAGACCTTAATCTAACGATCAAATTCACTTAATCATTTCATTTTCAAATTGTTTTTTGTCGAAAAAAAGAAAATAACTGAGCTAACTAAAACGCAAAATGCTGATTAAATTATTTTGATATTTTATTACGTATAAATTAACCTTTTGATCCTGTATTTGTTATATAATATTTATATATAAGTACTTATACATGCACAAGTAAGTATTTTGAAATTTTCAATATTTCATAAGTAAATATTATTAATAACTTACCCGGTGGAGTAGCATTGTCTTTCTCTAATAGCTCCCATGAATTTGTATGTGGTTTATTGTGACGATCTATATGAGAATCATTTTTTTGTTGTAAATTATCTGGTGATGATACAACACGTCGATGTTTACTTGAATTATTTTGAGGAGATTTTTGTATTCCAGATGATTTATTTGAAGATGAAAATTGATGCATTGGATTCATTGTATAACTGAGTAAAGTTTCTAAACTTGTTTGTGATGATCGACCACCTTTTTGTATTCCATTTGAATTATCCTGTTGTTTTAATTCTTCCATCATACCAATTTGTCTTGGTGGTAATGGTGGTGGTATTAATAAATCATTTTCATCTTCATTACCAGTACCAGATTCAACTTGTAAAAATAATTGTGTACTCATTTTTGGATCTGATAAAGCTTTTGTTTTTGATTTACTTTTTCTTTTGTTGCCATCAACATTTATTGTTATCTCTTGAGTTCTTGGAATATTTCTTTGTGGCAATGGTGGTGGCGGTGAAGTTTCATTTTTTCTTGATTTCAAATTTTGTGCATTTTCTTTTGCCAGACGACTTTCTTCTTTTTTCTTTTTCGTTGGTGTTATTTTTTGTTGTTTAGAGTTTTGATTTTGTTGAGTTTTTTGATTATTTATAAGTGGCGAAGGATCATTTTCTTTTAATTTTTTAGTACCAAGACTCAAAGATGATAAGGATCTTGGAAATAGTGATAAAAGCGCTGGATTTGTATGATGAGAAGTTGGAGTTGTTATTTGTTGCACTGGATTTATATTTGGAGATGGCGTATTACATAAGTTTGTGGTTGGAAGGAAATTTGAACTTGAAACTGGTGTAGTCATTGTTGGAATTTTTGTTGGAATATATTGTCTTACACTTTCTTCACCTCCAACTTGCCTTAATTGTTCTTTGAGCTTTCTTATATTTGCTTCAGTTTTTGCCCTTTCTGTACGATCAGTTGCAGAATTCGATGATCGCAATTCTTCCAAAGATCTTAATTCTTGATTAAGCATCATTTGCAAAGTTCTGATCTTATTAAATTCCACACTCTTTTGTGTATTATTGTCTACAGGTTGTGGTGCAGTTATTGCTTTATCTCTATTACTTATTGAAAATGATTGCTGTTGATGTATACCCAAAGATGTTGGACGATGCATTTTTAAGCTTCTTTTAACAGTTAAATCAACTTGTCCGCTTGATTTTATTAAACTTACAACTGTTGTATGTTTTTGTGTTCGAACTTCAACACCATTTACTTTTAAAATCATATCATTTGCCATTAATCCAGCTTTTTGGGCTGCGCCACCAGTTTTAACACTTTCAACAAATACTGGATTATCACCTGAAACTTTCATTCCGTATCCATTAGCATCTTTATGAATTGTTACCTTCAAGACCTGCTGATCAACTGCAACACCAGAAGTTGGTGACATAATTTGTGGACTACTCAATGATGAATTTTTTATAACATTATTTGACTCCATTTTGCTATTATTATTACCTTGATTTTGATTTTGCAATGTTTGTTTTTCATTAATTGACGATGACGCATTATTTAGATTAGAACCACCATTCGTTTGTATATTACTTATTATATTTAGATTACAAGTATCGTTCACATTTTGTCTATTTAAAATTGGAGATCCAATAAGGCTTTCAGTATCTCCACACGATTGATTTTCCATTACAAATATTTATTATATAAAAAAATTTTTGTAAAGGCGTTCTTTTTTTTATTCGCGAAAAATTATTTTAAATTTACTAATCTACTGTAAAAAAATTCCAAAGATATTTTTCAAAAATGTCAAAATTTTTCAAAATCAAACACATCGAATTATATTTAGAATGCATAATTATTTATCTTAAAGCTTATATTTCACTTCATTATCACTTTTTCTCGATTTATAAAATTTTTTTTTTTTTTTTAAATAAATATTGAAATAATAAAAAAATTAAAATAAAATTTTTGTGGTAAAATTTTGTGATGGATGACACAATGATTGAACTGTCAGAGAATTATTGGGAAGGGCTGTCAAATATCCCCAGCTGTCAGCTGACATACTCCGAAAAGGAAATCAAGGAAATTTTTTATCCAAACTTGGTTTTCAATTTTTTTTTTTATTTATTCACAATAGAATTTAAGTGTCGATTCTGTCTCGTAAAATTATTATAAATAAATCTTTAATATATTATGCGAAAACCATTTTGAAAACAATTTTGGTTTTTGACATTATCACAAAACGCAAAATATAATAATAAAGTAAATAATGCAACAGACCAAATTAAATGACAACTTCAAGTATAAAAATCAAATGAAAAGTAAAAATTTTGAATTGAAACTTGGCAACAAAGTAACTCTAATTGTGAATAGTTTATAAAGGAAATTTAAGAGAAATTTTAAAAGTCAAAAAAAAATTAATTACTGAATTGGAGAAATTCGGAATTCTGTCTGAATCATAAATAAATAAAACGGCTTCCTTCAATTTTTTCTTGTTCAAACCAGAAAATCGTATTGATTACAGTACAGCTTCTTTTATTTGCATAGACCTTAAATATCTTTCATGAATTAAAGTAATTTTTTACTAACGTATATTTTTTAAATGAAATATGACTTTGCAGATTTAAAATGTATATCAAAATAAGTATGTACACTATCAATTTTCTTTTAATAAGAAAAGTGGTTAACAACAAGATCAAAGAACCATACATTAAGTGTTGTCGTATCAACATCATTTGACAAGTATTTGGTATTATATTAAAATATAAACACGTTACAACTTACAATATAATAATTTGTTAGCTATCTATGGTTATTTTTTAAAATACACCTTAAATAAGAAGAGGAGTTAAAGAGAAGTTCTGCTTCAAATAAGATATGAGCAATTTTTATACTAATATAATACACCAAAACCAAACGATATCGAAGCCGCTAGAATCGTACTCATATCGATAAAAGTAAATATCGTAAGAAATATCGAAACAACTGTAAAACCCGCATCAAAACAATGAACAGCAACAGAGAATCATTTCCGTTGTTCACACAGAACAACAGCGGAACGGCATAATCAAACATATTGGGTTTGAAAAAGAAGTCTAAATTTAAACTTATAAAAATTTTATCTCTTCTTGAAGTGTATAATATTTTGATATTTGATTGAAAAAACTGTAATATATTACAAACATACTATGCTTATTAAAAAACAGTACTTGAAAAACAAGAAATTGCGAAAGAAGAAATGGGAGGTAAATCGTAATTTGTAGGAAAATAACTTGTTACATTGGTACCGACACCGATTTTATATATTATATAGTTTATGTAAGTTATATATGTAAAGGTATTCATGCACGTTATCAATATCACTTGTTAATACTTATTGATATTTTTTCAATATCAAGCTAAAATCTGTCAAAATGAAAATTCATAATTGCTTGTTAATATAGAGATCACATGTTTCAAAAAAGTGGTTAAAATTAAATTCGAAAATTAAGCTTGCATACTTAAAGCAAATTTACTATATTTTCCTTTTTAAAAACTTGACATTATTTAAAATATTTAGTAATCAAAAAGTGACAGAAACACAAACAAAAAATAAATTTTTGTTTATATAAACTGGAAAATACGTATTTAAAAAATTTATTGTGAATGAATTGATATAATTGTATATTGTCAAAAAATTGTGTTTACGAATTTATATTCAAAAGAAAATGTCAAAATATATCTATGAATTTTTTATAATGATGAGAAGTGAGAGTAACTGCTTCTCTCACCTGAACTTCTTTCAGAGATAATTTCCCTTTGAAAACGTTTTATTGTCATAAACTCATGCAAAATTATTATTAATTTGGCTACAGTGTCGATACAGCTTTTTTTTATATATTTGCAATGAATGCGTATTTGCAAATGTAGTTATTCTATATCTTATAAAACAAAAATAATTACGATTATGACAATAGCATATAATAAAATCTGACAACGTTAATTCAAAATATTTAAAATTTAGATCAATTTAAAAACTTATAAGTTTAATCAAAATAATTAATTTATCGATAAAAAAAATTTACTGGAAATAAAATTAAATAAGCGGTTAAAAAAATGAAGTTGTTAAAAAACAGTAGTAAAGAAATAAAGCATTCAATCTTCAATTACCCTAAGATAGTTTTATCTTTACGGAATTCATGGAAAAAAACAAATTGAAATTCAGCAAATTGAATAAAAATTTTTAATATATTTTCAGTCATTTACAGATTTATTTTCTCATTTTTATCTCTTTTATGTGTGTCTTAAATGAATCCGCTAATAATAATAAAATTAACGCTTGAAAATGCCGTGTCCAGTGTTCCCACTCGGTAAAAACAAAATGTATCCAATTTCGAGAAAAAAATGTATCCAAAATGTATCCAACCTCGTAAAATAGCATTATTATAATAAGTCGTCTTATTTTGTACAAATTAACCCATAATTAATATTAATTTGCTTTATTCCACAATATGAGTTTTGTTTTTTATAGTAAATTCTTTAAGAAATCACAAACAACTTCTATTATATTTTAAATGTGAAAGTTAAGGTCAGAAAAAACATATGCATATATGCCTTCTGTAGTTGTTGAACTATGCGGTAAAGACGATTGACCATGAAAACGGACAAATTTTAAAAAATATGTACACCCAATGCATTTTCTATTACATCTAGCTAACATTAAAATATTTTTGGTACGTTCTTGTATAAATGTGCTAAATTTGAATACAGGAAGAGGCAGTTAATAAAGCATCTTTTTTACTTTCTTGTAAAAAATTCGGAAACGTGCTTAGTTTAGCAAATAACATTTATTGAAGATAAAGCAACTTCGCGATTTAATATTAGCAGCATTTCAACTGTTTTGTAATATTTATTTAGTGTTTGAAAAAAAATGTATCCATATTTCAGCAAAATTTTAAAATGTAGCCAATTTCGGCATTTTAGCAGATTTGAGTATCTTTGTATCCAAGTTCAAATTTAAAGCAAAAATGTATCCAAATGGATACAATTGTATCCAAGTGGGAACGCTGGCCGTGTCATATAATTTTAAAGAAAACCTTACAAATATTATTGTGAATGAAAGAAGAATAATGTTTAGCAACAAATTCCCTCAATGTACAATTCTAAACAAAATATTTATATAGCTGAGAAAATAACGCTTAATCCCATAAAAATTGAATAGGAAAAAAAAAAAATCTTAAATTTTTTTCATTTGTTTTGATTCGGTCTCCTTTTTATTCCACATTCTTCTAATAACAAAAAAAATTTCTCCGCATTTCTCCAATTAATATTTGAGAATTTGATGAGCTTTGTTTGAGTGCATAAAATTGAATTTTTCAAATATTTGTGTTTTGCTTTTGCGTGTTATTTTTTTTTTTTCTTTCTAAAAATTTCTTTCTCAACTCTAGAAAATATTCTCTCCCGTTTATTCTTTTTAAAACGTCTAGTCAGCAGTTTGTCAATTGTCATTGTCACCGTATCATAAATTTATTAAAGAACGATGAGTTGTGCAATCTTGGATTGGTTGGAATAGTTATTAAAAGCAGAAAAAAAAACTGTGAATCCGGAATAAAGAAAGTTATTCAAAAAATTTGGAAAAAAAAAAAAAAATTTTATAAATTTTATTGGAATTTTTATAATAAATACAAATTGTAATCATTTCGGCGATATTTACCAAGTGATTCATTGCAAAAAAAAAAAAAAAACTTTTTTTGGTGGCTTTTTAAAGTGCAAGCACAAATATAAATTATTTTGAAAAATCAATTTTGTATGTAAACTTGCTGCAATCCAAGAAGAAAGAAAGAAGAAAAACAAAAAAATTATTTATAAAATTTTTTTATTTTAGTAGCTTTTTTTCCTTTCATTATTCTAAAAATATAAAATTAATAAAAAAATGTGCGTAGTTATAAAGAAAACCTTTTGAAATACACACAAGTTTTTCACAAAAGAAAAAATTTTAAAATTTAAAAGAAATTGAAAATAATCTAAGTAGGAATAGAAAATACTTGAATATTTTTTACAAATTTAATAAATTGAAATACTTTAAAATTTCGAATATCAATTAAGAATTTAAAGGCGAAAAAAATTTATTAAAATATCACTTATATCATCATAATCATCATCATTATAATAATCATCATCTATGGGTACATAAGCAAAAATATATCTTATTTAATATCTAATATTTGAAAAAGAAAATCTACATATGTGGAAAAAATAGAAGAAGATAGAAAAGAAAAATGACAGAAATAAATAAATTATTAATAGACAATAAAAATTTAATACAGTATAGAACTAGAAACGCTGGATGTAAAATGTTAAATAGTAGAAGCAACAACAGAAGCAGCAGCAGTAGTAGTGGTACAAGTTTTACTACTAACAATAAACAAAATAACTATAATATTGGATTAAATGATATTTATTATCATTCAAAACAACAACAAAGGATTAAATCCACCACTTTGATAACAACATTTAAATATTGGATTTTTACAATAGTTTATTTTAATATTAATTTAATAAAATTATGTAATGGTACATCAACTGATATTGCATTGGATGCAAAAGCAAATCTAACACATAGAATTGATAGTTTAAATTTATTAGTTTATACATTTTTATTAACATTAACTGTATTAACAATATGGTTATTTAAACATCGAAGAGTATGGTGGTTACATGAAACAGGATTGGCTGTTATATATGGTATGTTTTCTCATACATAACTATGTATTAAATTTATGTTTAATCGATAAATTTATTTATTACCACATATTATTTTTATCATATTTTTTTTTTAGTATACATATATCTACTTAAATATCTCATTAAAACTCAACACGTCTATTTTAACATGTATATGTTACCTATGTCTATTTGAAGAATTATATGTGTAGAATTGGGGATAGATAAAGAAAATTACCAATCAATTTTTATAGATTAAAATCCTTATGCTTGTTTATTCTTACGTGGCTTCTCTTAATACGTGGTATACATAGTGATAAAGGATGAATAATTTTTATTTTAATAGGTAGATAGATTTATCTATTTACTTATACACTCATCAAAAAATTTTCTTTTAAGTGGAATTAAAATTAGATTGATTATGAGTATAAGATTGAGCTGGGTATTATTATGCTGATTTAAATTATATTTCAAATATAATTTGAGTTAGGCAGCTATTTAACTGCATGTCTTAACTGAACCTGTGTATGTGGATGTTTCTTCATTGTTTAGTTAATATAATATATATAGCATGTAGTAGTAAGATGAATAAGTAAATTTCTGTTTATTATTTAGAAAACTAAGCTGATTTATCTAAATTATTTGATTTATAACAAAATATAATCTTGCTCCATAATGCTAGGAGGGGATACATCTCCGAAATTTTTTGATTTTTTTTTAATAATTATCCTTCTGCTTTGTCGGAATTAACAGAATGCTGATACTTTTGCAAAATCTGCAAAAATCCTGATACTTTTCTGCAAATTCATATAAAATGAGAGTTTAATTTGCCTTTATAGAAATAAGAACTGTAATGGAATGCGAAGTGTAAGAAGTTAATTAATTTTTTATTAACCAATCCCATTCATGTAGAGAAAGTTTTTATTTATTTCATAGATATAAAAAAGAAGCAAAGAAATTAACAAATTCTTTACCATTTTTTACTAATTTTTTTTTAATAAATAAGTGTAAATAATTATTTACTACCCAGATTTTAAGTAAGGCTGTTGTCTAATTAATTTCAATGTAAAAATGTCTTTCAAATTTTCAAAAATTTATTAAATTTTAATTTCTAACACTTTAATTTGTATAACAAATACAATATGAAAACCAGTTTTTAATTAAAAACATATTGACATACTCCCATAGTCATATAGCTCGGAAGGTAGGTAGGTAGGTAGGTTTGTTTTTATATTTTATCTACTAAATTTTCTACTTATTTCTAGTATTTTTTCGATTTGCAGCTGTTCAACTTTGAATAAATTTTATTGTTATAAGTATATAGATTTATAAAAAATAACACTTAGACTAAAGATGGAAATTTATTTCCATTATTACTTATATTTTGTTTTGCTTAAAAAAAAAATAAAAGGGGGAATTACTTGCTTATTACTTACTTATATCTTTTTCAAGTTTATTGTTTTCATAATGGCTTGATGTACAATATGATTTCTTGTTGAAGTACGAGCATATTTATGGGTGAATAAATAACTTGTTTTTCCCGGTTATTTTGTTTTTTTTTTTTGACGATCAGCTGCACAATGTATTGATTTATTGAGTTTGTTTTGTTATAAAATAATAATTAAGAACGTATGTTTCTGATGATTTATGTATTTATATATATGCTCTATATATTCAATTGTAAAATTTAGGCGAAAATCTAGTAAATTAGGGTAAAAATTAATAGAATTTTATAATTTTTATTGGAAATTTATGTTAAAACAAAATTTATTGCATATTCATTTTGAATTCGAGAGCAATATTATGCATGCTATTGTGGTAATATTCTATATATGTATGTATTTCCAAGCTAAACTCAATTACAGAATAAAATATATTGACAGTAATTTTAATATTTCCTAGTCCACAGTTTCTTAATACAAAAATCTAGTTAATTTATTTTAAAATAAGTATAAGATAACAGTATACTAAAGTAGTTTCCTATCTATTAACTTCAATAATCTAAAATAAAAATATATATATTACTTATGTATTTAATTAATTCTAGCCATCTAATCTAGCCATCTAATTTCAACTCTCTAATGAGATAAAATTTTAAAAATATAAAGTGAGTAATGTGAACTTAAGTAGGAAATTGCAATTTGTTTACTTATTGAAATTTATTTCAAAAATTTAATTTATTGTGATAAATTAGTATAAAACTAGCAAAGATTCCTTGTTATCAGTATCACGCATACGTTCTAAATGGCATTCAGAGGTAGAGAGGCTTAAACATGCTAATAATTTAGTATAATTAAATTTTTTAATATAATAATTGCAAGTAAATTAATACTTAGATAAGTGAAATGGCTTCATTTATGCTATTTTAAGTATTAATAAATTATTTACTTAGCAATTATAACCTAGTGGAGGAATTAGATTTTCTTTGATAAGAATAAAATATTAAAGTGGCTGCTTCTTAATTAAACATATTAACAGTTTTACATTGATAAAATCATAAAATTGTAACTAGGTTATAGGGCTTATGTAGGGTACTATTAAATACACTATAGTAAAATAGATAGGTAACAGAATAATTTTATCAACCGTACTTACTTATTATTATTAATTTTAACATTAAAATTTGTGAGCTTATCAGAGAAATATATAGAGAAATTAAAAATTATTTAAAAAAATGTAAGTACTTAAGTGCAGAATTATTTTTTGGAAATTTTAAAAAAAAATAAAGTGCTTTATTCTTTTGATAACAATTATTTTTGTTACTTTACTAACTTTTATTTAAAAAGCTAAACAATTGTGAGCGCAACAGTCCCACTTGTAATTGTTACCCATAAAATTATCTTTTAATTGTACTACTTTCTTTATTTTATCTATGTATTTTTTTTTATTGAAATGAACACAAATATTATTACAATAATTTGCCCATATACTTACTTATGTAAATTTATATTTTCTTATTTAATGTCTATGTAATTTAATTTAATTTTAGTGTATACCATTAATATCTTTTACAATTTAATAACAGTAAACTTATAATGAATATGGAAAATAAGTACAAATCTTTCAGGCTAGTAAATAAATATTTTGCTTATATACATATGTGTGTATGTATGAGCGGGCTTTTACAAATATACATTCATATGAATACAAAATTTTATCAATATACTTCAGTAAATATCTTGTGTTAAAAGTATTTTTCACACTCTTATCATTTTAATATTAAATTGAACAGAATATAGGGTGTTTCAGGAATGGGTGTACTTACTAATTTTTAAAAAATAATTGTAAAAATTAAATTAAATAAAAAAATTATCCTGATATAAAAATGATTTAATATTGTACTCTGCTGAGCTATTTCAAGAAATAATTTTGAATTCGTTGAATTAATTATTGAAGTTCTTATCAGTGAGCTCTTACTATATAACGCCTTTCGATAGCTGTATACGTTACGGTATAACAATAATTTTTTCAATACTTAAATATAATTAAAATATTTTAAGCCAAAAATGACTCAGCCATTGTTTTATAAAATGTTCTTTAACATTTTTTTTTAAATAAGTCCAATATTTGTGTTCAAAAAATTCAAAAACTAAAATCGAAAGTCAAGGAAGCTTATTATGTTTAAAAATATTCTATTTAACTAATGTACATCTTTGTTATTAATAAACTTTAGTTAATTTCTTCTGATTATAGTCAAATAATTATCGAGTATATGGGGCATTTGGTACTAATTTGTGTTATTCTTAAAGATTCGGAAAAAAATTTATGCTACTAATTCCAAGACATCCCAACACTACATTAGTAGAACGGATAGAAAAATACTCTTGTAATTGAAGGAAATGCCTAAAACAAATAATATGGCAAGACTGAGATTTTGGTCATTTCCGTATTTAATTTTTTCTAAAATGTTTACAAAAAAATTTAGTCATTATTAATTCAATTTGTTTTTGAAGATGACAGATTAATATTTTGAGAAAGAGTGCGATATTGAAAAATTTGAAGTCTTATTGGAAAAATAATCTATTTAATGCAAAAAATTAAAATCTTGTTTTAAAAATAAATAAAATGTTAGTCGAATAAGTGAGATACTACATAATACGATATATTCTTACGATATTAATCTTTATCCATATGTAATGTAAGGTAAAGACTCCTATTATTGACATATTTTCCGATAATCCTTAGATTTTCACATAAAATTAAATTATTTCGTATGCCTTTAGTTAATTTTACAGAAACAATAGTAGTTTTAGTCATTTAGTGCACTTATTGGTAGAAAATCTCTTATATATATGTATATATATATACAATGTTATGTCAATTAATGTAATGTCTACATGTAGTTTGTATATGTACATATTTACATAAATAAATATTTATATAAGTACACCTAACTTATTGTTTGTCAAATAGGATTTATCTATGTATACTTAATATATATATATGTATTTAATATATATATAATAGATTATAATAATAATTGTAAATATTTATATATATATAAAGTGTTTAATTGATTTTTGGCGTCAAAAATCCCAAGGACATAAAATTATCAGGTATTATATTATTATAAATAATATAAGTAAAGGATATAAAGTACGTATAAATTTAAATAAGAGTGAGAATAAGCATAAGAATATTTTATTGTGTGCTCTAAATAATATATAATTAAAGTATATATATATATATATACGTATTCAATAATATAAGTGCATTAATACTGTTATACATTTAAGTACTCGTGTAGATCTGTATTACGTCCATTGTACAATATTACATTTTATTTAATTAAATGAAATTCTCTATTGAGTTAAAAAAATGTTATTTTTTTGTTTCAATCTGATATCAAATTTAGCCATTATTAAAATTTAATATTAAAAAATTAAAATATTAAGTAATTGAAATAACTAATGTCGGAAATTAAAAAAAAACAAGGACTATTAATTTATTAAAATGCTTTTGATGTGGCATGGTTTTCGTTGCCCCGAAAAAACAACTTGTAAATTTTGATAAGAAATCTG